TTCTTTTTCAATTAGTTGGTTACATTATGCTTGAGTGGCTGGGTGTTGCTGAATCAAAGCATGAGACCACCATTCCTTATGGTGGCCTGTAAAGCTTTTGAATATTTGCTTTTTCTTTTAAAGCTCTTTTGAAATCATAACAGTCTCGGGTGTGGATATAGTGTATGTTTTATTATTATTTTCAAAGTAACTGTTCTTACTAGTGCAAATCTAGAAATTATCAGAAATAAGTATCTTCATGGGTTAAGCATGGAGGCAAAAAGATGCATAAAATCAGACCACATCCCAATTGTCATCTTTTGAAAAATAATCTATTCAAAAGGTTGGTCTCATGGGGTTTTTATTTTAATACTGACATAATTAGATTCCTCTTAAAAGAGAGTTTTCTGTTGGGAGTAAAGCCAAAAAACCACTGGAATCTGCCTTATTGCTTCCATCCCTTGACTACAGTCTATCCTGCTTGTCAAAGAAATATTTTAAATTCAGGTGCAATTTTTCATTTACCATTGTGAGTTGCCAATGAGTAAGCAATTCATAATAGCCCAGGTATGTAGACTGAGGCTTTTCTGATATTAAACAGCATAGAAAGGAAGGAGGAATAAGAAAATAAATTTTCAGAGTGACAAGACTAATATGTAGAAATAAATGTTGAAGGAGTTTTGTTTCCTTAATTAAAGCCTAAGGTATGATTTGTTTTGAGGCTGCTTGTAAACTGGTTCCCAAACTGTTTAATTACTACTGTACTATTCATCTCACCTGTCTCAAAAATATTAATCATCAAATGGTAAAATATTAGCTTGTAGTAGGAGGGTGATGTCAGAAGCTGAAACTCGAGTTCATTGCAAATGCTATCTTTCATCATGCCCTCTTAAAGTGCATGTTAAATAACATAAGTATCATTTCTTTAAGATCCCTGTCAATATTAAGAAATTGGTGAATATAGGTGTAAATTATTCTTGCCTATGTGAGACATACACAATACTTCCTCTGTGCCTAATAATGCAGTGTTTGCTCTATGGCATTTCATTTAGGAGCTCATCCCTGTGTAAATGCTGCTGTGAATCAATGAAAAGAAATTTACAATTCAGCAAAACTGTCTGCTTTGATGTATCACCATATAGCAAATGAATCTGTGGAATCTGGAGGAGTAGGTATTTGTAGTGGCTTTTTAGTACCTCCTTCAGAATTCGGTTCTGTAGGAGGTCTGGTTCCCTTGCTGCAGGAGGAAGGAGGAGGTCTGGACCTTAAATGTGACAGGCTCATGTTTGTTATGAGAGGTGAGTGTCTTGACTTCGTGGATGGAACTGTTAATAACTGCTAGGAACAGCACAAAAATCTGAGAAGCCAGCAGCCTCATTAAAGAACTGACAGCGCAGCGCTGTCTTTGCCTGGCGTAGCCTGAGGTTCTGGAGAAGGACTGAGACAGGATTTTTTCTGTGGTGGTGTTTGCATACACATTATTACAAGCAGACTCAACTAATATGAAGTGCTCTGAACTAATCAATTTAACTAGATCTCGACAAGAGAAGGGTTCAGTGTTTTTCATGCTGTTTCAAAAATGAAGCTGTGCTGATTTGGAGACCTGAAACCAGCAACAGTCTATCTGAAAAGAACTGATTTGATGTTGAAGAGGACTTCTGCTCACACTTTTTGCTGCTTTTGCCATGTGGATGAAAAGGAGAAAACTGCGAGTGAAGTTACAGGTTCAAGGCTGTGTTTCCTCATCTGTCTATTTTTTTTTCCCTAAGTATAGTGTAGCTCTTGAAGTGAAAGGGGTACATATTGGTATTCAGTGAGGTGAACATTAAAAGATTTCTCATAGGGTGTTTATATTTAAATGGTTAATTATCACTGTTTCCCATGTTCTTGTGCTTTGCCATTTATAAAAGGTTTTTAGACATTAGACTTTCTAAATGGAGCACTTTACAGTAGTTAATAGCTTCTTTAAGGAGATGCTAATATCTGCATTAATCTTATAATTAATCTTCTATATTTTACATGATACAAAATAATACAGTACTTTTGCCAGGCATTATTAGGGAGACTTCCAAATATGACTGTTTAGAGCAGTAAAAATTCTGAGCTCTTGGATTAAACTGGGTTGGGTTTTTCTTTTTTTTTTTTTTTTTTTTTTTTGTTTTTTTGGTTTTTTGGGTTTTTTTGGTTTCTTTTTTTTTTTAGTTTTTGATGCTTTTACCAATCAGTTTCTTACTGTCATTGTGCTTTCCAGGTTACATGAGCCATTTAGAAAATATTTAATTTTCATGTGGTGAAATGCCTTTTTTACTTTGAAAGCTCACAGTCTCTATACAGATACCATTTTTGAGTCTGGATATATTTTTAACAAGATTACTTAGTGGAATAAAACATCTCTGTGTCTTGGACAGTGTTATACTCAAAATTTCTACAGGAAATACAATGGGCTATCAATGTTTTTAACTTCAACTGGTACTTAAAGCAGAAAGGAAACATTGGGAAAATTATGCATAGTCGGATGCAAGTTGCATATTTCTGAAAAAGCACCTATGTGTATTGAGAAAATACTATTAATTCACACACACTTTCCTTTTAACTTTTAAAATCAGTGATCCTGGGAAGCCATCATGCCATTCTGAGACCCTTGAATTGCCTGCAGAGCCCAGCAGAAGCAGATGTAGAAGTTTATGGTTTTCTGGCAGTCAGTCATGCCAGCTGAAGTCAGCAGAGCCTGAAAGTGTTTTGGGAGCAGCATCTGGTTTTCTGTTTTGTTTTCTTTTCTCAAGTTAAGCATGTTTTTGTTTGTGAATGGCACTTGGAGAAGTTTCCTTACTTTCTTAGCCAATTAGTGCCTTTCAGTCAGTAATTAATAATAAAATATCTCTCTCGGTGGCCACAAGAGAGTACAAGTTACTTGCCCTGAAAGAATATTGGGAAGGGCTCTTCTGTGCATAAGTCATGCTAATAAAAAAAGTACTCACTAGTAAGTTCTAATTTTTCCTTGTGTTGAAATAGAAAATTATTATCTTGAGTGGACTTCATCTCTCTTAATTACTGCTCTACTCTAAAACTTTTTCATCAGTGTTGACTAGTAAGAGGAATTTCAGTTGTCATTTCCAGTAAGCATTATAATTTCACTTCCTAACTTACTCGTTTATGTTCAAACAGGGACAATAATTTTATCTAAACATTTTAGCTGACATATCTGTATCATGTGTCCAAGATGGAGCAAAAGTTCCCTAACTTTAAAGTTAGTGAACCAAATCTGGCTCATTTTAATGATTGGTGTTTGTCTTATTTGAAGAGTTATATGCAGCAACATGAAATACTAATTCAGGTAGCAAGAAATAATTCAGTTTCTTTATAACAAATGGCATTTTAATTTCCTAAATGAAGCTTAAAGAAACACTTCTGTATTGTGCATTGGTTGGAGAATTGATACTTATGTAAAAGTTTGATGTAGAAATATGAAAAAAGCCATTCAAAGTGCCTGAGATAATGTGATCTCAAAAGGAAGTTTCTGAAAGAAAAATACAAGTACAGCAGGCCATACATGCTGGGTATCAGTAGGGTGGGCCAGAAAACCAGAGCAGCTAAATCAGTTTTCCTATGGGATCAGGTGTGATAAGATCAATTATCTGATGTGTGATCTACTTTGGGCACTAGGGGGTTGTTTTGGTTTGGGATTTTTTTTCTGTGTGTCTGTAAAATGTTCAAACCTCATTCCATTTTATAAGCATTTGAAACTATTATTAATCAATATATCCAAAATATTTAGTTATCTTTTCTTTTTCTGCAGTGTTGACTGTATTGTGGGTAACAAGTGATGTAGTTTTTGTTTGGTTTACTAATAGCGTAGTCATGTAATTTTGTGACAAAATTGTGTTTACTGCATTATTAAGAGTAGTCCAATTTTTACATTGATCCAATAAATTAACTGAATTATGTGTAAATACTTTGAAACAGATGTTGGGCTATTCTGAACTTTGCAGCATGATTTTTCAAAGACTGGTATTTTCTTTCTGTGGAAATTCTGAAGTTGTGGTTAAACCCTGCAATTCTAAGGTTATGAGTTTTGGTTTTCTGAATACCAAACGTCAGCTTCTGGAATTTTTCGTGATACATTGCACTCTCTTTCTTGAGGTTGTATACAAAAAGTGTGGTTGAAGTAATTTGGTCTATAAATGTAAATCGTATTTCTTGATAGAATTATGGATATATTGAAACAATGTGTTCATGTTTTAAAACATGAAATTTGGTCACATACATGGTATGAATTTTAAAGAATTTTCATCATTTGTGTCTCTGTCCTAATTTTGTAGCTTCTGTTAGTTTTGAAATGCAAAAGGAGTAAGACAGCCTTGCTAATACTTCACATTTCATTCAAAATAAGAGCCACTTATCACCCACATCTGAAGGGGATCAGCTTTACTTTTCTTAATTTGTACAGACTGCTTTTCACAGATCCTTACTGCAAATGAGCCCAATATATCAGAATTTTCAGCATCTTTGAATGTCATCTTAGTGACCCTTTCTCTAAGGGTTCTCATGTGGCCTTGTCCTGTGCTAGGTCAGTAACAAGAACCAGCATTTTAAGCTGCCAAGGCAGTTATAAAATATTAGGAAAGGAAAGCAGCTTCATATTCTCCTACTGCCTAGAAATCCTGTTTGCATGTGTGTTAGCATGTGTGCCTTACCAGGACTGGCACATGCCAGTGCTACCAAACATCCGAACAGAGAGGAGTTAAATGTAGGATAAATGCTTTTTTTTTTCTCCTCTTCTTTGTTTGTCTCTTAGTGTCCTCATGTCCTTCCACTTTTCGCTTTTTCTGCCCCTCTGCATGGTCTGTGTCCCTCCCTTCTGCTCTGATGTTCCTCACTCTTCACAGGTGCCCATCATGCCTCTTTCTCTGAGGACCTGGGAGGAGCCTTTAACCTTCCTCTGATGAGTGGGGGTTTAGGATGTCTGGTCAGAATGCCCTGATACACATCGACACATTCATGGATCATTTTCTGTTCTGCAGGTTGGGAATCCACGTGTTGAGCTCACTCTTTCTGAACTGCAAGATATGGCTGCCCGACAACAGCAACAGATTGAAAATCAACAGCAAATGTTGGTTGCTAAGGTAATAATTATATACAGACCAATTTTTTTCAATATATGCAAGCATAAGTTTTGTAGATAGAGAAAAACATGCTAAGTCATTTCAGTTAAGCTAGAGAAATAGCTTGAGAAATCAATCCATCATTTTACCAGAATAATCTTAGCCTAGGCAAAGCACAGTCTTTTGGCATAAATACTGCTAGAACAACCTATGTGATGTGTCATTATAAAAATATTGCTAGGGTTTGTTTATCTCTCTTGTGTGGCCCCCTTCATGATCTGTGGCAGAGCAGGCTTGACTCCATGCTCATCTTTAGTGGCTTATTCAGTAGAGTAATAGTGGGGTGGGGTGAGAATATGCCAAATACATAAAAATTCATGTATTGCGTTTTCAGGTCTCAGAGACAGAAGAACCTAAGTATGTTTGCAGAGTGGGGAAGGGATTTAATGGTTTTGACATCGTTGTTGATGTTGTTTGAAGTATTATTCAGCATGCCTTTGATGCTTGGAATACCTAAGAGTCAACCTACTGATTCCTTTGTTCTTTCTTGATGGAAATAATACTAAAAAAATATTTTTCCGTGTGCACTCAGCAGAAGAATTATTATTTAGAACTGGAACATTTTCTTACAGCAGGTCATCTTGCTTAAAATGGTCTGTTGGACATACTTTGTCATCTTTGGGAAGCTGGGTAACAGCACTGGAAATTTATTTTGCCAACAGCAAGAAAACTGTTAATAGTGGCAGAAAACAAATGCCAGAGGAAGCATAACAGATGTATTTAAATGAGCATTCAGACTAGAGCTGTATTCGCATATCTATGTAAATATGTTATTTTTTCTCTAAAAAAAATCTTGAATCTCTAAACAAGATTTGTTAATTGATGGTAAAGAGTTTTTTCTAGGGCTGGTACATATTTCTATGAAATACAACATTTTCTGATTTGTGGAAGTAGAAAACCTGATCAAAACGATCGGGTTTTCTAAGTTAATGTGTTGGGGTTTTTTTTTTAATAAATGGGTAACAGATGTCTCTTGTTTCAAACCTCCTTTTGTCAGGAGCAACGTTTGCGTTACCTGAAGCAGCAAGAACGTCGCCAGCAGCAGTCTGTTTCTGAGAGTGAAAAGCTCCAAAAACTTAAAGAACGTGTTGAAACCCAAGAGACAAAGCTGAAAAAAATCCGTGCCATGAGAGGACAAGTGGACTACAGCAAGATGATGAATGGCAATTTGTGTATGTGGAATTCTTAATTTATTTACTGTTCACTGCATGACTAACAAATAATGCTATATTTTAAGTCACTACAGCATTGGAACAGGTTTTCAGGTACAATGTTTTTTGTTTTATGGAGGTTCTGTGTTTCCAGGACATTTGTATGCAACAGAACTTTTTGCTAGTTTTATATAGTCAAACATAAAGTCAGAGTTAAGTCTATTCTCTAACCATTAGGAAATCTTATGACTGTTAGCAAATTTGCAATACAAATATTTTATATGTATTTTAGATGTAGGGCTTGTTGGTGTATTTATTAGTATTTGTAGAATTAAAAATTAACAACTACTGCTTTATTTAATTGGTTTTTGTTATTTTTATCTTGTTAATTTTAGCAACTGAAATTGAGCATATAAGTGCCATGTTCCAGGAAAAGCAGCAGGAGCTGCAGGCTGCAGTGTTAAAAGTGGATCAACTCACTCAGCAACTGGAGGATTTAAGGAAAGGAAAACTGAATGGGTTTCAGTCTTACAATGGACAAATGACGGGGCCTGCAGCAATAGAATTAAAAAAGTTGTATCAAGAGCTACAGGTAAGTAACAAAAAGATGCTATTTGAATTATAACTGTAGATTTTAGAAGTTTTATTTCTGCTCTTATGTGTAGCAGTTTGGTTCTGTTACGCCTTATAAAAGTAGTGTGTTGGAATGTTGTTAATGTGTGAGGTTGTAGTTGGCATACAACCTTTTTTCAGAAAGAACTTCATTAGCTTTAAAAACTATTTTGTTTCTTATACATGTAATGATACAACGTCTGCAGGTGTTTTGAAGGGAGTATCTCAGGCTCTAGTACTGAAATACTGAAAGTCCAAATAATTTATTTATTTTAATCTCGCTCAAAAAATGTTTGTGAAACTAATTTTGATACTTTTCTATTTTGCACTGATCTGGGTATAGCAAGCTCACTTATATATCATCTTAACTTGGAGACATGACTGTAATTTTAAAAGTGTATTGTAAAGATATACCGGTATTGTCTGGTGTGAATAAACAAAACACATAGGAATTAAATAGCACATTTTAATAGAGTAATCAAAAATGCAAGCTGCACTATATTCCCTGCACTGGATAGTGCAACATAGTTGTAGTATATCCACACAGTATTCCCTGCATCAATATTGTATATCCCCTGCAAGAAGATTGTTATATCTTGAGTGTAGTTCTCACATGAGCAGTTAAGTGTCCAGTTTACATTGAAATTTTGTCAAATTGTGTGCTTATGTATCAGGAATTTGAAGGCTTCTTTTATTTACTCATGTGCTTTATTGTGATCAAAGTAACAGCTTGGTAACAGGTAAAATATTCAATATTTTAAAATTAATTTAAATTTCAAAATTAGGCTCATTTATTTTGATGAGCAAACTCGTACAGCAGAATTTAATCAATCCCATTTTCATGCATTAGGAGTAAGTGTCCATTTTTTCTCTTTTTACCCCTTCCCCATTTCTACAAGGCATATCTGCCTTTGAGTATTTCTAAGTGCAAAGATGCTCAATAGATGAAGATTTCTCTCTTGTGCTTTGCAGTGATCCCATATGTGTTTATCAAGACTTAAATTTGCCTCAGGTGTTTTTTGCTTGTAACATTACCATGAAAATCGGAACACTGAGACAATGTCTGAGTTATTAAAGGTGTGAAAAAATGCCAACAGCAAAGCAGGAGAAATAATTATAAGGAGTGTCATGGTTGATTTAAACCATAAAAGTAATCCACCTCATAACGTAGTGGAAAACTGCTGTGAAGGTTTCAGTTTAATCCCCATGCAGAGAGGAAAATCTTTGCCGAGCCCCTGCCCTAGCAGTTCAGTTAACACCCCCTCCAGACATCACAAAGTCTCATGTGGATCTGGAAACAGAATCAATAGCATAAATTCTGTTACAAGTTTTGTATCACTTAGTTTTTGTGATAGACAAACTGTCTTGGGTAAGGATAACTTAAAACAAACATTTTCTGTGATTTAATTCTTCACAGTAGAATTTTCTGAAATGTCTTTCTGCCTAGTTCCTCAATCCATTTTCTATAAATGGGATGCAGTCTGTATGTATTTAATAGGCATCCACTAGGTTTTTTAGGATACTTTTTCACTGTTTTCTTCTCAGAGTTGTTCATGATTGCAAATGCTAACTTGACAGGATGTGTGGAACCGTAGAGACACCAGAACAAGTGTTGATCCAAATTCCTTTGGGTTTTTTTAACACTGCATTACAAACTATCTTGCTAAGAGACAGAACGAGAACTGTTCTAACAAATGGGGTTTGTTTTTTTTTGGTTTTGAAGATCCGTAACAGGCTTAACCAGGAGCAGAACTCCAAGCTCCAGCAGCAGAAAGAACTCCTGAACAAACGCAATATGGAGGTGGCCATGATGGACAAGAGAATCAACGAGCTGCGCGAACGACTGTACAAGAAAAAAGTTGAGGCACGTCAAAAAGAAAACATTCCTGTAAGATAAACTGTTAAAAGGGCCACACTTCAGTTTATCAAGGGCCTATAAAAACTACATAGAATCTCCTTTTTTCCCACTCAAGTAATCCAGTTACCTATGATAAAAGTAGCAGGTCTCTTAAAACTATTCTAAGGTTTCTCATAGATATCCAAAAATTGTAAGACAGAATGTTTCCTTTTATTTTTCTTTATGGCACAGACAATACTATATTAAAAATTGGAAAAGTTTCTATTAGGAAGGAAAGTATGACTATGTGCTACATGTTTAAAAGTATGAATGCATTAAAAAACTGGGTATTATAAAATACTTACCTTCCAGTATGAAAAATAAATAAAAATATAAACAGTTTGATAAAGTTAGGCTTAACAGTTGTCTGAAACTTCAGAAATATCTGAAAAGTTGAATTCTGGATTTCCATATGTATGACATATTAATATACATATTATTGTAGAAGCATAGTGTATGATAACTTAATTGTAAGGTGTCCTAGCTACAGTGCATGGTTCTAGATCATTAAGTTTAGACCTCCCTGTTCATGCAGAAAGGTGTGGATTAAATGGACATTCACGTGTTAATTTGTCTAATTGTTTTCAGTTGAATCGTATTAATGGAACTTCATCACCCCAGTCATCCCTGAGTGCTTCAGGAAGGGTGGCAGCAGTAGGACCTTACATCCAAGTTCCAAGTGCTGGCACTTATGCTGTACCAGTAGATCCAGTTAAGCCACAGTCTCTCACCATTGCTCCCAACTCAACACATGGAAGATCAAAATCTGGTAAGTGCTTGTGTGATGTTTATCAATACATATGGTTTGAAAAGGGGCAATAAAGAAAAGGAGTAATTTTAAGAGACCCATTGTTGGCATAATTGGAGTAAGGGAGGAGGCAAGTTTCAGATGTGTTAATACTGTTCCAATTCATTCATGGACATCGGTCATTTGATCTGTGGCATTTTTGCTTCTTTCCATTAATTTTTCTTAGGAAATTGAGCGTTTTCTTTGAAATTTTACTGGCTGATACATCCCTAAAAGGGGCATGTTTTCTTCACAGATTCTATATTGTGTCTTTAATAGCTTTTTCAATTAGTTTGTGTGTTTGAATATGATAGTGAACTCTGTGAAAAACTGTATTATAAATAACTATTTACAGTATGTTGTTTTTTATCAAGTAAAACAAAGCTAATGAGTAAATAATAAGAATAATACTTTTCAGAAGGAGACTAAATAGGAAAATAGAATAAAACTACGAGAGGTTTTTGCTCCATCTGGGATGTGGGAATTTATGGTCTTTGAAGCATTTCTGAAATGGACTAACTATAACATTGATGCTGTTTACTTGTTTCTGCCCTATTTAGTGAAGAAGCTGCCCCTCCAGAACTCCCCAGAACTTTGGTTTGAAATTGGCTCCCATGTCTCCCATCATTAATAATTCCATCTAAAATTTTCAAATAGAATTATTATTTAATTTGTGTTGGAGGCTGAAGGAAGCAGGTCATATTTGTGCCTTAACTTCTCAATTCCAGCAAATTTCACCTGTCTGCTCATGCCTTAGAAAAATCAGAATTTTTAAGAAATTATAAGCCAGGAAAATATACATAATACAAATAAAAATGCATGATCCCATTGGTCTAACCATAAGACTTATTTTACCTGGTCTCCTTGGAAAGATCAGAAAGGAGATAAGGATCAACTAGGAGACAAAAGCTGTTGCAATAGTCACATACATTCAAGGACTTAAAACTGAATATTCCAGCAAAATTCACATCATGATTTCCAGATGGGGAGGAGGAGATGGGAGAAGACAATCTGAACCTCTCTGCAGGAAAGAATGTCAGAAATGCCCCCCCACCCTGCCACACCCCCCAAAAAGCCCCAAGTCAGAAAGTAAAACTGGCCAAACAAAACTTAAAAAAAAAGACTCCAGTATTTCCCATTGATATTACTGATTTAGCAATACCTTTATCAGCTAAAAGTATTGAAAATCTGTGCAAACCCCGTCACTGTGGTTTTATGGAAAACTCTCAAGAAGATGGAATGACTTAATTGTGGGGGTGAAGGTACGGATTTGCAACAGTTTTGTTTTTCAATTTGTGGGTCCTCCTTCCACGTATGGAAAAGGACAGTTCCAACTTTTAAGTTTACCAACTAAAAACCACAATTCTGTAATATCAACCTCCCAAAATATATATACCCACTTCTAGACCTACCTCAGGATTTTTAATATTGTAAAAGTAATTATTCTGCCTTAGGACTGGCTTTGTATTTATTATTTTTAAGAGACTTGAATGAAGTTCTGTAAAATAGATTTATGTAAGGAGAAGCGTACATGCTCCCAGGAAGAAAGGAAATTGAGAATTTATTTCGACAGTCATGCTTTTATTTCTCATTCTCTGAGTGTTCCTGTTCTAATGTTCTCCATTGTCATTGTTATAATTTGTCCACCACTTTTTTTCTTTCTTTTTCTGTGTAACTGGATCTGCCTTGGTGCGTCCGGTAGAGACAGACTGTGGGTGTGTGAAAAAATCTCCAGACACCTGGAAGGTTTCTGATTTAGACATAATAGTGGATCCTATTCTGTCACCTCCCACTTCTCTTCAGTCTGCTGTTCACAATGTCATCCGCCTGGCACCTACTCTGTTTGACACCCAGCACTGTGAGTCCGTAGAAGATCTCTGGCTAGCTAAGAACTCAGTTTTTAATATGGTCATCTGAGCTCTTGCACACAGATGCATATTAAACAGCATCTTTAGAACCTGTGTTGTGGTCTGGCGTGTAGATGATGCTGTTGAAATGTAAATTGGTTGACAAGTTGCTTTTCATCTCTGAAGGAAATAGATTTGCAGCAAATTCATCCCAGGAGTACTGGAGTAGTGTACCAGGGATGAGTTTTCTTCTCTGAAAAACCTCAACATTTTCTCAGTGTTAGAAATTTCTGGCAATCGCTAAAGCATTTTAGTATATTTTGGATTGGATAAATGTATAAAATACATCTTAATTGAGTTACTTAATTTGAGGCTTAGTTTGAGTTACTTTGTGGGAAACCTCAAGTTTCCGTGTTGCACTGACCCCAGAGTTGGGATAAAAGCTCACTCTGCCCAAGTCAGTACCCAGAGTCTTGCTGCCTTCCATTTGACTTGGAGCATACTTCAATTGCTGTAGTAAGTAACCTGGATCCAGACCTACAAAAATTTTAGGGAAAGTCAGAGAAAATGCACAAAACCTTTTGTGTCTGTGTGTCACTGTCTTATTTCTGTAAATGCACAATGGCCTGGTGAGAGCTAAAATGCACTGGGTGTTACGTTTACAGGCACAGGCAAGAGGGTGCATTTGGAGGGGTAGATGGAGCCAGTTGCTGTGGGGTGGCTGAGAACAGGAGGGTTGGCCTCAGATCCCCCCTAGACCAGGTTGCTCAAAGCCTCATCCAGCTTGGCCTTGAACACCACCTCCAGGGATGGGACATCCACAACATCTCTGGACAACTTGTGCCACTGACTCCCCACCCTCAGTGTAGGTCAGAGAGAGAAGAGAGAGTCTGAATTTACTTCCAGTCTGTTACCTCAGAATCTGGGGATAAACATGCTGCTTACAATAAGTTTTTGTGTATCTGTCTTTCAAATAGAAGTGTTTAATTTTCAGGTAAGATGTTTAAATGTGTCATGTCTTTTGCTGTTGTTTCTGCAAGTGCTTTCTTCATAACTAAACTTACAGATCCAGATGCTTTCATGTTTAGCATGAATCAATTATAACACCTTTCACTGACCTTCAAAACAAAGGTTTTACTGAATTGTAACCTGACTGGAGGTATAGAATGTCTTGTGTATTTTGTACAGTAAGCATTAATTCAATGCATAGTTGGAAAATTTTCCATTATTTAGGGCCTAAGTGTTTTTGGTGTCGCTCTTGATAAGCAGATGATCAGAAACAATTACAAATAAAACCCACAACATTTTCAGCTCTTGGATAATGCCAGTATTACAACTGGCAGTGCCAATATGAAAGCTGGGCTTCATTATTTTACTTCCTGGCAGTTTGCAAGTGTGAAAAGTGATTTCTGGAATATATATACTGTATTCTCAGTGTAAAAATATACAAGTGTTAATCCTCTTTTAGAGATACTCAAAAAAGAGGATAAGGCTCATGGACAGAAAGTAGAGTGGTGATGGAAAATTCGCTCTCATCAGAATGTTCCTATGCAGCTTATTTTGACACTGTCTATTTTACCAGACAGAGAATTCTAGAAATAGTCCTGCTGATTCTGTTTTCTGGAGGCTTAAAACTGAAATAGGAAACTTGGCCTCTAAATACCTGATTTTCATTTGATATTATATTACTGTGGGGTCCAGAAATCCCATTGAATCTCCACAAATGCACAATCCCCCTCCATTTTAGCTCCTATCACATAGTACAGTCAATTACATGTTACAAGTCACCTTTACATTGAAGTGCTCCACTACAACAATTACAAGCCATAGGGGTGGAGGAATGATCTCCAGTCTCCTTAGAGGAAGACATGCCTGAAGTTTAATCTTTTAAAGGCAAATCAAATCCTTAGGATCTAACATAGGATTTATTTAGTTACTGTAAACCATATTTAATTATTAGGCTACTTAAACTCTTTTGCTTACTTAGAGAATTGAAACTAAATAGTCTCGCACAGTTAATAAAGTAACATCCATGCATCTAGGACTTCATTAAGGATTTGTTGCTTCAGTTTATGTGCAGCTATGCATGCTTTTTTGCATATGATGAAGATAAAAGCCCATGACTTGCATCTTGATGCTGTGAGTTAAAGTTGTCAGCTGATTTTATAAATTTATTTAATATTAAATCTCTGGGGCAATTCTAAATGGGTGAGTATGTTGAGGAAAAACAAAAGGTGAGTTAACCACCGCTTCCAGCAAAGGAATGTGTGCTTTTGTTCCACCCTGCTGTCGAAGGGAGTTTTTACATCCTGTTATGGGTGAATGAATCTGGTAACCATAGTTTAAATTTGGAGTAAGTCCACTCAGGGCTTACATAGACTTAACATTTACTGTAGTTTGACTTTGTCTCTGGATAGTACCCAAAGAATTGTGTTGATGAAGTGTTTCTGTACAGATTGTTACTCTGAATTTGTTTACCTTCTAATAGCAGAATATGCAACACTCAAGCCAAAATTTCAATCACATTTTTCTATAGAAATTTTCAGTGCAATTTGAATGTTAAAGGGTAGTGAACACACATTCTATGCGGTGATTTGGCTTTCAGTATTGATTTCTGAATCAAATAATAATGATTTGTCTCACTTCTAGAATAAAACTAATCCCACTGTAATTAAGATGTTTTATTTCACATGTTGTTTTGCTTGTTTGCAATGCTAGTATGGATTATCTTAAATCTAGTATTTTTGTCTGTTTTCAAGCTAATGATGGAAATTGGCCAATACTTAAACAGAGCTCAGCCCCTGTGGTAAAACCTCCTCAGATCTCCAACACAGACTGGAAAGAATCAAGCATGGATACTGCTTTAAAACAAGGAACTATATCCAGCCAACCTTTGCCAACTTCAGTATTAGGAAGTACTGATAAGCTGGTGGGTTTAATCGGTGATATATTTATAGATCTGCTTTGCTGAAATTATGAACCTTTGGCTCTCATACCTGAACTCACTTCAATTAGATACACATTCCATTTCCCTGCTGCTGTTTATTTAAAAAGAAAATTATATTTTTCTGTTCCTTTCCGTTCTTATCACATTAAAATATGTGGGTTTGTTTTAACTTCAATACTTTGTATTCCTTCCTGTTCTTTTACATATCTAGTCTCCCCATTTCCCTCTTTGCTTCCTCTAATCCTCTTCCCCCCCTTCATGTTTTTCTAGTTCATATCTTTTTTAGTCTTTTTTCTTTGTATAGATTATTACTTTTTCAGTGTACTCTTTTTCTCAAAAATCTCACAAAATAAGTCATTAAATCCATCCTTAAGTGAGACTACTAGTGGTATCTGTCTTCACTGTGATAGTACTTTATGAATTCTTTAAGACTATAATATTTCAAGAACAAAGACTTGATCTTTAAGTTGTTCTGGTAAACTCTGACAGTGTGTGTTGTCAAGATCAACTAGACATTGAGATCTGGAACCTAGAACAAGTTCATCAGGCTTTACATGTATGTAAATAGTTTCAAATTTATATGAATGTGTTACAGCTGAAAGTACCTTTCAACAGTGGCCTTTGTCTGAGTTATGATGAGATCCTCAGATAAACTCAGGCAGAATCATATCTAGTGATAAAGGAACAGAAATTGTTTATGTTGGCTCCTTTTCTGTCCCACAAGATTGCTAGTATGGTATGTTGAAAAAGGAATGTTCTTGCTCAGAAGTACTTTATTTCATTAAATGGTATATATTATTTATTGTTCTTACACAGGGTCTTGATCTGGGGAAGGTGCCACCAACAGTTCCTGGTGTAAGCAAGCAGTTGCCTCAGAACTATGGGACCTATCCAAGCCCAGTTCCCTTAGGAACAGGTTCTACAAACTCTCTAGAAAGAAGGAAGGATGGCAGCCTGCCCAGACCTGGCACCAGTATAGCAAATCGGCAGAGGCCGGTTCCGCTCCCGCCGCCCAGCAACGTGCACCAGCCCAGCTCTTCTCAGCAGATCCAGCAGAGAATTTCTGTCCCTCCCAGCCCCACGTATCAACCCTCTGGTCCCCCCTTGTTCCCAGGAGGAGAGGGCAGGCCAGAACTGCCTTTGACTGTGGCAATCAGACCTTTTCTCGCTGATAAAGGATCCAGACCTCAGTCTCCCAGGAAAGGGCCACAGACAGTGAACTCCAGTTCCATCTACTCAGTGTATCTGCAGCAAGCAACACCACCAAAGAATTACCAACAAGCTGTGTACAATACTTTAAATAAGTCAGTAAAAGCAGGTAGACTACATTTTGCTTTTTTTTTCTTTAAAATACATTAAGATCTACTTGTTTGGAAAACTTGTCTAAGTCTGTGAGAAAAGTAATTTTTGTGTATGCAGCATAGTAAAAAAAAATTCTTTATATTTTTGAGATTATCAATAACTATGCATTGATTTACCTTTTATTTTAAAACAATATGCAATTGGAACAATATAGCTTGGATACTTTATCAATACTTTGATAAATTAGTTGAAAAAACAGTGTCTAGATAAGAGAGTTTTGCTCCTCTTACTGTTTCCTCGTGAAAGAGGAAAAACATTCCAGATGCTACTTGTAGCTTATAACTGTAAGCATCAACATCACAACAGGTAAGTATTTATTTCTATTTTGACAGTCCCCAGAACAATTTTTTTTTCTTTCTGTATTGGTGTCAAACAAGTAGCAATAGTTTATTTAAATATATTTTATTATGTAATTTAAGAACATAATTTTATTATGTAATTTAAGAACACTGTTTTCCATCTTTCTTTCCTGCAGTTTATGGAAAGCCTGTATTACAGTCTGGTTCAACCTCTCCCTCACCCTTGCCATTCCTTCATGGCTCTTTGCCTGCCCAGTCTCCCTCACAGCCACAATCTCAGCCTCAGACTGAGGTCATTGAAAAAGATCAAGAGCTGGAAAATGCTCCACCACCCAGTGAAAACAGCAATGTGGAAAACATTCCCCGTCCTCTCAGTCCTACTAAGCTCACCCCCATTGTGCACTCGCCCCTACGGTATCAGAGTGATGCTGACCTGGAGGCTCTGAGGAGAAAATTGGCCAATGCTCCGAGGCCGTTAAAGAAACGCAGCTCCATCACCGAGCCAGAGGGCCCGAGTGGACCAAATATACAAAAGTTATTGTACCAGCGCTTTAATACCCTGGCTGGAGGGATAGAAAGTGCTCCTTTTTATCAGCCAAGCAATCCACAGGACTTCATAGGCAACTTAGCTGATGTTGATAACGGGAACGCCAGCACCAATGGCAATATTGAAGAACCAATCCCTGTGCAACCTACAGTTCCTGTCCCTGATGAGCCACCCCCTTCATCAGATGCCAATGACAATGAGTTACCTTCTCCTGCTACTGAGGAGTTGATAAGCACTGAAACCACAAATCAAACACCTGAAACAAATGAAGACAACAACAACAACATTTCTATAGTTCCTTCTACTGAGCAGTCACCCAGTCCCACGCCAGAGGTCAGTTCTCCAGTAGAAGATGAAGCTCCTTTGCCACCTGCTCTTCCTCCTCCACTTCCTCCAGTAAGTAACAAAGCAAAAGAACAACTTTGTGAACTACAGAATAACCTTTGTGCTTAAGCATGACTGGAACATGGTAAGCTTCTGCTCAGTGGTATCTTTGCACTTGAAGTCTCATGATATTAAAAGAAAAGACAATCAGAGGAGTTTCAGGGAGGATTCTGATGGATTAGTTTCTTTACTACTCTAGCTGCTTAATAAGGAAAACATGCAAACAGGTAACAGGAGGTTGTGTATGTGTTTTTCAACTTTTTGGAGGTTCTTGTTGTAGAACTTATTCTGGAATAGGAGATTCCAATTTTATTTTTTTTTAATTTGTTCAGGCCTTCAAAGATAACTATTTGTATGAAACTAAGAGTAAGCTATGTCAGTGGGAAGCCTTTTAATTTGCAGGCAAGCTGAAATTGCTCTTCTGGGGAAACTGCACTCCTTTTCCCCTCTCAAAGGAGATGGAACACGACTAACTTCAGCAGCAGCACAGCTGGCTTGTGATAGCAGAAATGTTCTTCTAATGGGCTTGTCACATACTTCGAATTGCTTTCAAAGTCCATCCTCCAGCTGCACTAAAATCTTTTAAATACTTGCCATTACCAAAATCTACCACATTTGGAGAATTGAAAAATACAGAAAAAAATGGATTTTATTCTTTGTTGTTGTGATATCACTCACTCTTTGAAACCAAGGTTTATCCTCACTTTTAGATTCAGGTGGGAACCTTGCATTCTTCTGAGAATTCGACTGCAGTCTGCACAAGGCTTTGTATGGTTTTCCATGAGCATAAGGGCCAGGAGACTTCTGGGAGAATGGGATATGCCAGCAACTAATGTTATTCATAATGTCAAGGGTTTGTTTTCCAAACTGAAATAGCCATCCTATATAGGACCCTAAGTGAAAACAGATCCTACAGAGCTAGAGACGAAAAGCATTCTGTAAAAGCTGTAGTTAATAATAGAGTATTTTTTCCACAGCAAGTGAAAAAGATGCATGTAAGGGATTCAGAATATTCTCAATACACATTTAAATGTGCTTCAGATCTTGAAAATGCTGCATCTGATAACACCTTCTAGAATGCCACATAAAATAGCTTCATGTTCTGTACTTTTTGTTCCTTCAACAAAACTCCCAAGTCTGACCTACAACAGAGATTCCTGCTAATTCAAGACATTGATTCCTCTAAGTACGGACTCTGGCTTAATTGTGTGGTGCTTTCCAGACTAAGCAAAAGTTTTCAGTGTCTTAGATAATCCACCAGTAATATGCACAGCTTACATTAGATACAATTAAGATGATGATGCTTAAAACACTGACTTAAGTACTTCATGCCTTGTACTATCTTTAATTAGAAGCTTTGAAACTATATTGGCTTGCTTTTTCATTTTTTAACTGCATAAAATGTAGTAACGTATCAAGCCTTTTATTTAGAGACTTAAATAAAAATGATTTCATTGCTCTAAATATAATTTAAGGCAGACAAGATTCATAAATGAATCATTTTTTTCTACTTGTGCAACCTGAAATGATGCCTTCCACCCTTCATCTTTACTCAGACAAAACGTACCAACTTGAAGAAACCCAACTCAGAAAGAACAGGCCATGGTTTGAGAGTGAAGTTCAACCCCTTGGCTCTCCTCCTAGATGCTTCTTTGGAGGGTGAATTTGATCTGGTGCAACGAATCATATATGAGGTAAGCTTTTAAACAATGGCAACCCCATGCAGTATTCAGGAAAAAGAAAGTGCTAAACTATTTTATGTTTTCAACAGGTTGATGATCCCAGTAAACCAAATGATGAAGGCATTACACCTTTGCATAATGCAGTGTGTGCTGGTCATCACCACATTGTGAAGTTCCTGCTCGATTTTGGTGTAAATGTAAATGCAGCAGATAGTGATGGCTGGTAAGTGTCAAGATTTTTAACCTATTATCTGGGAGAAGCACCATTTAGATGCACATTCAAAATTTAATTCAAACCTGTTCTGGGAACAATTTCCTTCCTCTTTATCCCCATCAAATGAGTACTCTCTAAGCTGTAGATGGAGATGAACTCAAATGCAAGGTTACAGCATGTTCAGCCCCCAGGCAAGCACACTTAAACCATAAATTAGATTACAGTTTGTGATAATTAGTGGTAGAGTTGCATTTCTTGTTCAGATGCTGAAATAATCAAACTATAAATAACAAATGACAAAAGTCATTTTGCTTGTTTCTTCATCATAGATGCCACTACAGATGTTGGTGTTCTTGGAGAATCTCACCTTTCGGGTAGCTGTAGCATTCCTGAAGTATTTCAGGGTGGGAGGGAATGTGAATCCTCAACTTTGTTTTACCTTTCAGGATTCCTTGTATTGTAAAATGCCCTCTCACGCCCAACAGCTTTGTAAACTGTGAAAATTATTAGTTTTGCTGTCATCTGTTTCATAATGTTTGGCTTTACTGGAGTCAGGTAAATCCTGAAATCCACCCTAGCTGCTTGACAGGTTTTAGACAATGCATACACATACTATAAACATAAAGAAAAATTTCCTTCTAAAACAGACAGGCTGTAAATGGCAAGATGAGAGTTAGGATTCATGGAAGCTTCTTTTTTCACATGTACATTTTTTTGATTTATTTTAGGACACCCTTGCATTGTGCAGCTTCTTGCAATAGTGTTCATCTCTGTAAACTACTGGTTGAATCTGGGGCAGCTATTTTTGCTTCAACTATAAGTGATATAGAAACTGCTGCAGACAAGTGTGAGGAGATGGAAGAAGGTTATATTCAGTGTTCCCAGTTTTTGTATGGTAAGCTGTGACACCAACCCTTTCCTAAGATTCATCGTGATTTGTCCCTCTGATCTGTGTGAAACATCTGCTTAGGCCCCAGACTGGATGATATGGCCCATCAGGTCCCTGTGCTTCTAAGTGCTCAAACCATCATCACGTTTTCACTGTGATGTTTGTCTTAGTCCTTTGGGTTTTGAATTACTTCACAGGCTACTTCAAATATAAAGATTTTTAAAGTTTTAATTTGGCTTCATTTCAAGGAAATTCTAAGTGCTTAAACCATCATCACATTTTCACTGTGATGTTTGTCTTAGTCCTTCTGGGTTTTGAATTACTTCACAGGCTACTTCAAATATTAAGATTTTTAAAGTTTTAATTTGGCTTCATTTCAAGGAAATGTTTCTACAGGGAGGTTTTGACCATAACAGTGAGTTGTCAAGTATTTTGACAGAGAGACTCCTAACTTCCAGATGCACAGGCTGTCGACTGAATTCTAATAGTAGGAACAGCCTTTTGTTTCCCATAAAATGATATTGAGAGTTGGTGTTTCCAAGGCATTTTGACAAGGCAGCATGTTCTGTGTAGTGTATTTTCATCTCTATGCTGAAATTCAGACCTATTCTATTACCTGGGCAGCTATTGTATTATCTGGGCATCTGAGATCTATACCCACATTTCTATCAGATCACACAAAGAAAGAAATACACTTTATGAATAATTAATTCACAGGAGTGCTTAGTTACTAAAATATATTTTGCAAGAAAAGTATTTCAATGGAGCAGACAAATTTTTCATTTTCATCAGAGAATTTAAGCTTCAATAAGGCTCTTTCAGATCTGGCATTGTGAGTTCTGAAAGCCACAAGCGTCCCTGTACAAGGCCTGCTGTAGGAAGCAGTTTCCACTGCATGTACAATAAAAGAGAAAAACCTCATTCTCTAAATCATTCTGTAAGATTTTTTTATCATGCAGTTAAATTTCTGACAGCATTTCATCATGGAAGTGCTGAAAACTGTTTATGAAATGTTATTAACAGGAGACTAATATTTAGGCCATCGTGTCAATAGTAAAAATCTGAGGGGAAAAAAGAGGCTATTTTACCATCTGGTGTTGTTAACAGGAGTGCAGGAGAAGCTGGGAGTGATGAATAAAGGGGTGGTGTATGCTCTGTGGGATTATGAAGCCCAGAACAATGACGAGCTGTCATTCCACGAGGGCGATGCCATCACTATCCTGAGGCGCAAGGATGACAATGAAACGGAGTGGTGGTGGGCCCGCCTCAATGACAAGGAAGGCTATGTGCCTAAAAACCTCCTCGGGGTAAGTTCTTTCACCCTCTCCCTCCTATTTCAAATGCACCTGAAGTAGGAACAGAAGATTGATCTTTAGTCAGAATTCCTCTGTGCACCATCCACAGCACTATGAAGTGGTGTAAAGCAGATTATTCTCTCTAGCCTCTCTGCCATTGTAAACAAACAGGAGGGGCTACTGTTAGGAGACTGGTGCTGGTTGTCATTGAGCAAGTTAGTATACTGAATATAGTTTATGCTTTAATGAGACTTTTTTATCCTCCTTGGCTAAAATATAGAGCCCTTAAGGAAAGTATGGTGGCTTTATTAGTCAGCTTGAAGCCTTGGTTCAAAAAGTTCTTGGGGAAGGTTTTTAATACCTGGTGCAAGATAAGAACATAGGTGTGTGTGAGTTTAAAACAGGAAAGAGCCTTGAAGATGACAACTGTGGGCACATTGTTTATTCTGCTCAGACAGATGGAACACTGTCAGGAGAGGCCAGGAATGTAAGGTGACTAAGTGGAGAGCTACTGAGGACAAAATGCATAAGAGAACCTTGCAGAGCAGGAAATAAGCTCTCTGGAGTGCTCAACAGGGAATTTTTGTACTTATGTAAAAGCCTTCTTTTTCTGTTCTGCATCTTGAACTAAATGCACCATGTCATTTTCAGAGCAGCCATGTTGCTGCCATTGGCAGGAGTAAATCAGCTCTTTTCCTCCTGCTTCTTGTTTTTCAGGAGTGTCCTAAGAACACCCCCAAGCTTACAAAACCCCACCCCCCAAAACACTTCATCACCCAGTTCTGCCTAATAAGTACCCCTTACTTATACAGTATTTAAGTTGGTGTTAACCATGCAAAACCTAATACTGTTATTCTGTTTTTTTAGTTATATCCACGAATAAAACCTCGACAGCGAACCCTTGCTTGAATTCAGTTGTACGACAGTGCAGCACCATGCTGGTAACTGGAAACTTAGAACATACACTGGAGCCATCATTTTTGGTCATTTCACACAGAGAAATAAAACTATGATATTTAGTTTTAATGGTGCTTTCTCTTGTTAAATGGACAGCATCCAGGATTTCCAAGATCTGCGGTTTGTAAATGAGGATTGTTTGTGTGACCAGCACTGACGAGGAGAGCGATGCCTCCGCCGCCGTAGCCAGTGCTGCGCCAGCTCTCGTCTAACGCGGTGTTTTCAGTCAGAGTTCCGTGGTAGGAGCTTCCTTGTGTTCCGTGTTCAGAGGTGTCATTTGCAGAGTGCAGATGCACTGTCCAGTTTGCTCCAACCCCCCACAGCAACTGTCCCATGTCAGTTTTGGGTATTTCTGTTCCATACCAGTGAATGTTGAGTTCTCATTACCCATCAACTCTTTGGGTTCTAGGACACAAGATCTTCACTTGTTACATGCATAATTAAGTAGTTACCAAAGCTTGGTGAAGGCTAGGATTTTAGGTGGCAACACGGTAAACACTTAAATCCTAGTCTGGACAACCCCAACGAAAGCTTTACCTAGTCTAGCATCTTGCAGTATTTGCATTTAGAATCAAGCTAGAGAACTAACAAAAACCAACAGTATTTGTACACTTCTCAAAGTCCCTACACAATATTTCACTTGGTGTTTTATTTTCTTATTATTCAGCCTACAGCACCGGTGTTACCTCTACGAATGTAAAGGTTCCCCTACTAACCCCCTGAGCTCATCCAGCCTGGACACAACAGTTAGTACAGAAGTTGCAGCAGCTTAAGGGATTTGTATGTCTGCAGGGATGAAAGTGCAATAGTTGAAAAGGGTAAGAGTCTGGTAAGAGTTATATTGTGTCACCTGAAGTCTGCCTGAATCAGTCTAGAAGAAAATATGAAGGACTGGATAGAAGTAGAGAAAGACGGTCGTGTAGATGCCAAGTGGAGGAGAAGAAAGAAACAAGGTTTAGAGAAGGATTTAAGAAAGGCAATAGCTTATTTGAGGACAGTTTCTGTGGTTCTTGGCAGCCTACAACTGCTGCCAAGGCAAGTTATGCAATAACCTGTTCCACTACATTGTAGTTTCAAGCAAAAAAGAAAAACCCCACAAACAGGCACTTCACTGGAATTTTAAATGTACATGATTTTATATACCAGAAGTATATTTTGAACTTCCCATTATAAGTTTTAGCCATATTTCTTGTAATTCTCTCCCATTTAACAGTATGCAATTTGATTAACTCTTCATGTACAAGTTCTGTGTATAATTTATATATCCATTTCTGCAGTGCTGTAACTTGCTTTTACCACAGGTCAGCATTAACTGTATATATTGTGGTGAAAAGTGAAAGGGTATTATTGTTGAAGAATTTGCTACATGAATGTGATGATTTCAAGAGCCTATGATACACTAATTCAGAGAACATGTAAATGTGCACAATAAAGTACTGCTAAGGCATGGCTGCATTCTCCACTCTCTTTATAGAGGTCTCGACAGCAGATGTGGCTTTGGTCAGAGTCTGCATGAAAACATTAATTATAGCTTGCCAAGGTTACAGCTGTCAACCCACCTTTCCTCTTTGTTTTATCAGCTTCACTGGAGATGTGCTTACACACCAGTATCCCAGTATTCCAACGGGGAAAAGTTAACTTAGAACTAAAATTAGTGTTTTCTTTAGAAAAAGTGAAAATTTTCAGAGTTCAGAGACCATGGTAGCCATTACTATAGAAGCTGTATATTAAAAAATTAAATAGCACCTCTTTTTTAAATAAGTGAATTAATTTATTCATATTTGTACATTAAATTGTATACAATTTCAGATAGCATTACAGTTAGATTAACAAAAGCTCGTTACCAAAAAAGAAAATACAAAACTAAAAATTATTCTGGAAGCTTATTACAGAAGTGAAGTTTCAAGGTCAAGTTCATGTAAGTCAAATTTGGTGGTATTTGGTGAAAAATTTAGATACTTAAATGTTTAAAAAAACCCACATGCTCTCTATAAAATCATATCTAAGGCAGATTTTTTGTACATTGATTTTAAACATTTGGATAGAGGGAAAAACCTGAGATCTATACCCAAAAGCTATTCTCTGCAGAAGAGACATATACATTTGTTTGCTTCCTGTAGCAAACAGTATATATAATGGTTACTATAAAAGTTGTGCTGTACATTAACTGTAGTGCAGGTCACTTTCATATTAAGTGCCAGTAAAGGCTTAACAAAATATACAAAGTCTTAAAAGGTGAGGCTGTTTAAAGCATTAACTGTATACATATTGCACACTACCGTGAATACTCATGGTTCAAAAAAATACTCGCCTTGCATTTGCCAGTTCTTACATAATGAACCACGCTGGAATGAGAGAGAGAGTCAAGAACAGCAAATATTTCCAGCTGTCAAATCAGCACAAAGTGAGAGGCTGGTCTGTGGAGGCTGGTGTCTGTGTGTGCCCTCAGGAGGCCACAGCTGCAGTTCTCACTGGTCCCGAGACTCATAGAGAAGTTTTGTTGCCTAACAGAAAGGGAAAATGTCAGTGTGAACTGAAGTTTCACTTGCAGCCACCTTATCTGCTTCCAACCCCTCCAAAAACCTCCTTTAAATCCAGGGCTGGCTTTAAATTCTTTCTCTATCTGAGAAAGATTTTTCTCTATCTGAGGCCTGTACTAGCATTTGGGAAGTGCATGGTGACAGGAAGTTTGAGCACACTGTGCTGAGCAGAGTAGAGGCTGGGGTAGGGGCACCTGGGGAGTTCTAAAATGGCAATAAAGCAGCAAAGAGCCACAAAGAGCCCATACACATTACAAATGACAGTTCTGATCAGCAGTCGCTCAGGTGACTGATTTGAGTGTGGCTTTAGTTTTTTCCCACCATAACTTGAATTTAGGAAATATGAACCTTCAGTTCATTACCCATGCAGGGCCTAGCACCAAAAAATTAAAGTCTTCCATTTCCAAAAATCAACAGCTTCTTTGAACCTTCATGAAGCAGTAAAAACAATTAGCTGAACTTAGGATCAAATGAGTATTTCATAGTGCACACTCTTCAGCCCGTAACAAAATCCAGGGAAGTTTAAAGACAAATTCTTAGTTCTTTTTATCTAATAACATATGTAAGATCTTGGCAAACCCTTCAGAGTGCATAAATTCGTCAGGTCTCTGAGCAGAAAGCTAAAGTCATGTTCATTACACCCGGCCATAGCTTCTGTTTTCTAAGCAACATCACCCTGAAATCCTTAATTAAAAAATAATAGAAATACTCCTGAGGCTGAATGCTCTGTCTGGTGCTGCTGAACACCCTATGTGAAGAGTTTCTTCACTCTTGTCTAAGCTTTGGCTGCTTTGCTTACCTTATGCATAGCTGCCAGCCAGGCTGCTGACAGCTTCTTGTTACAGCTGAAGTCTTCACCAGCAGTAAACTTCATCTGTGTCACCTCCTCTGACCCCGGTACCTTGTACTGCAGGATCATTCCTATGGCACGAGTGTTGCCTCCTGAAAAGAGAAATAACATCTGGAACAGCAGCAGGTTTTACCAACTAAGTAACACATTTTCCTGCTCATGAGTATGTTTGGAGAAATGTGCTCATTGCTCATCCAAGCAGCTGCTGGATCTGAGGAGCTCACGACCATGGCTCGTAATGCCAGGCAGTGGAACCTGCAGCCTCATATTGTTTCATTCTCTCTGCCAAGCACCAAGGCAGAACCTGCATCAGCCTTCAGGTAAAGCCACACACCTGGAACACCCTCATGATTTACTGTCACCATGTTCAAACATTGATACCACAGTTTCACAGGGTAGCCTGCAGTCTGTAGGCTTAGGGTCCAATCAGACTGATGGCAAAGCAGGGTCCTGCTGGATGCAGTCTGGCACAGCAGGCAGCAGTTCCTCCAAACCTGGCACAGGCTGGAATGATGCTTACATAAGGCTGGAGAACAGCTGGCAACATCATTTACTTCCTGAAGGAAATTGCTGCCAAAGACTCTGCTCTGCCAACAGTGCAGTAAGCAAGGTGTTTGTATCTCTCTTACTGAGGCTGCAGAGATGAAGATAAACCAAAGCAAAAATACAGATATTTAACAAGAACTTTTAGAATGAGACATTGCTGTCATTACTTCCTGCAGCAGTGGAGTATAAACTAAGCCCTAGGAACAGCACTAGCATACACAGGACACTTCTTACAAAGCTCTTTTTAGAAGTGTCTGCATGAGAGGGCTCCTGGAGGCTATTACTGCGATATCTGAGGAGCCTAAAACAAATCACAATCTAAGCCAAACTCAATCTAGTTAGTGCTGTTAATGCACCTAGCCCAATCAGGAGCCCTCAGCAGGGTTTATAAAAGAGCTATTTTCTACTCTTCTAGGATAAATGGAAATTCAACTTCATCAATTGCTTCTCTGCACCTTCTGGTCAGAATAATAGATTAAGGGTCTACTGAAAGATAAACCAGTGGAAATCACACACTTAAAACCTTGACCAGTTTGCCCATGTCTGGCATTAATAAGACAGAACACACCTTGCATAATAAAGAGGCCTTTCTTTTAAAGTTGTGTAAAAGCAAACCATTAATTAACAGTTCCAGTGCAAAGCCTTTCCAGACAGCACACAGGGAGTACATTCATTTCTAGTATGCCCAATTCAGCAAACGGCTAAGCTGTGATCTGTAACACTGTGTACTGCTGCAGATACCATTTCTCATCTTCCCTTCTCCCAGCACAGACAACAGCACTTTGGTCTAAAGAAGGCCTTGAGTACCTTAGTTCTCCTCCAGAGTGTTACAAAACATTCACTCTTGGTTTATTAAACAGACATATGGGAAGGAACAGATACATGTCAGACTTGAACATAACTCAAGTTGAACAGCAATTATGGATCAAGCAAATAATCAGCACTGCAGAGAAGAAAGAGGTGAGGGGGTCATGACATGCTTGGGTGAGTCATGCTGAAAGGCACTGCAGATACCTTCAGTAACAGGCTGGCTCTCCAGAAGGCTGGTGTAAGTGTGAATATCTTTTTCTACCATCAAGAAGGAAGGCAGGCAGAAAAGAGATAAAGCAGTCAGAAGAGTAGTGAACAAGGAATTACAGGAGCATTAAGTGACTCAGCAATACACCTGGTTGATTTAAATACCAAGGTAAGTTTATTCAAGTTAACATGCTGTACTGACTGAATAATGCACAGATGGGCTGTGCAATTAGAAAAACCCAGCAGTGACAGAAGTGTTGATAAAGAACAATTATTGAAATTCCTGACCTTGTTTGTTCTCATTTCAGTCAATTCATATTCAGTTTCATCCTGAAATACTCTAAAATCTGGTAAGAGATGGGGCAGTAAGTTGCTGCACTCCAATTTAGATGTTACCAGTTTCATTTGGCCACCCCTTTGTCTTGAATAAAATTAAGAAAGAATAGTTGAATTATTTACTCCCCCTCCCCCATTTCATTCTTTTAACAATGTTTGAACCAGTCAAGGCAAAATCCCAGCTGGATTCTGAAATGGAAGCTACCAAAGACTAACAGTTCCCTCCTTTGAGCTCTTTAAGTCAGTAAATATTTGTACATACCCAAGCACACAGGTGACAACCACCCTTGCTCAGGTTCATCAAGAGGCTCTGCCACATTAAGGCTGTAGGGGAACTTCTCCATCTTTAGGTGTTCCCCCAAGTCCCAGCAGCCACATGGGACAGGGTCTCACAGACTGTGCTCTACTCTGAGCAGTTGTAGCCAACACAGTTACACACTGAATGCACTGTCTAGCTCAATAACTGCAGCTTCTTTCTTCTCTCTTTTTTTTTAATAGTTCATTTATATTAAAAGAAAAAATTACCTCCAGGAGTAAATCCCTCTGTAAGTATCTGAACAGTTGAAATCTGTATAATTTCAATTTCATAATGGCTGTCTCCATCCAAAACCAGGTATCTACATAATAGAAGAAAAAGGGTTTTTTCACTTTTTTTCCTACAAGATCAAGTTCAAATCAAAGGAGAAAAATAAAACAATCTCTCAGTAACACTGTTTATGTGTTCTTTGGGGTGAGGAGGGATAGAAATCAAGAAGAAAATACTACTTTTCATTGAAATTTCACCCTTCCAAGACATTCTGATCCACGCTCAGGCAAACATTCCAGTATTGTTGGATCTACCCTTTCAGTCTGATTACTCTCCAATATCCTCAGACATATTACTCTCATATTTTTTTAGGTTATGTAAGAATAGAGCTGTAAGTACAATAATGCTATAGTTTACAAGTGCAGTTTCTATCAATCTTTCTCACCTCTGGTTGTTGGAAAGTCGACAAACCATGAGCTCAGATTTATCAGATGCTCCCAGAGTTACAAAGAATGTAGCACCTGGAAAGAAATGGTTTAGTATTCTAATACAGAATTCAAGAAGCAACATTCAAGTATCAGAAAATACAGCTAATTTTTACTTACTAATACACTGAATTGAGTGAAATGAGGAATAACTGAAATATTAAACTGATTAACATCAGCAAAACACTCAAGTATAAAAAGCTGACCTTTAATTATCATGTTCTGACTTACAGGACCTTTCACACATGCTATGCAATTTCTCCTATGTATAGAAATACAGATGATATCCAAGAGGAATCTTTTAAAAATGAGAAGAGATTTGGAGGTGGCAAAGACAGGCAATTAAAGACCCTCTATCATCACTGTAACACAAATTATTGTTTCTGTATTAAAAAACCCACTTTAATAGCAGGATGTGACTTTCAGTTCTATGCTTGAGAAACTGTAAAGACATCTCTTTTTCATTACTAAAGGCTGGCTCAGTCTTACTGTGAGGTCAATGAACTTCAGCCTTCGTGTTGATTCTTCCCCCTCAAAACTGCTTTGGCAAGGGGAAAGTCACTGTTGCTGCACGGGAGAAGTGACTCAGAACTCCAAGCAGCCCTACACGCCCGACCCCTTTGCTTCCTCCATGCCTCATGCTCCCTCTTACCTAATCCCAATACTGCTGGCCTGGGAAACGAAGGAAATAACATCCAGCCCTGCCCAATGGTCTGCAATCCATGCCCATAATCTGAACCATGCAGCCCTGGAGTTTCACCTCCTCACTTCCCAGCTCACCCAGACTCACTGACCCCGTGCTGCTGAAGGGAGACACAGGCAGCAGCACCAAGGCTGGAGAGGGACATTACAGCCACCATCACCACCTCTCTGACCACAATCTGTGGCTCTACAGCAAGTCAGGAACAACTTCAGAACATGAAAGCAAACAGGACAAGCTTTAAAAAAAGTCTTCAGTTTAAAAGGTGTGATTTAAAAACGTGTCTACGCCCTCATGGCAAAGCAGAGTGAAGAATGATTTATGTGCTCCAGGATGAGCACACTCCCTTCTGAGGCCAGGACCTCCCCAGGAACATCCGTGTCCATCACACGTGGGGCTTAGCTTACCCATTATGCACACTGGCATCATGCTGAGAGATCATCAAAAGGCACTGAAGGATCACAGACTAATTTAAAAACTGAAGTTTCAGCTTTCTTAATGTAATTGAACATGAATTACTGTATTGCATGAAGGTTTAAACCTATGGCAAATTGAGTACTCATGATGATCTGCCATCAACCACAGCTGTAGGCCATGGACAAGATCAAAGCTCTCAGATGAAGCTTGAAACAAGCACTGTATCTTGTTTGAAAATGTTAAAATAGTCTCTAAAGTATTTTTCAACCTTATTTAATGTAACAGGAATATGGCTAAAAGATGCATTATTTCAAGGAAAATGCTAACTGCACAAGCATCTCTTTTAACAGGTATTAAAAATTTGTCTTTAATTAACTCACTCTTTGTCAAGACCAAGAAGTACAAACTGAGAGGTGCAAGCATTGACTACAAAGTGTAAACCTCCCTCTAAATAAACCAGTAACACAAAACCATTAACTGCAAAACAAGAGGCGTGACAAAGAGCAGACAAAACCACAGCCTGCTGGACAAGAAGCACTGCTCTTGCTGTTCACTGGAATTGGAATAAGCAGAAAGAGGAGTCCTGGGTGCTTACCATTCATGAGCACTTTGAGCTGTTTGTCGTAGAACTCGGTCTCCTTCTGCGACACCAGGGCGCACTCCGCGCACTGCCGCACCGGGTCCACGAAGCACATGCGAGGCAGAGGCACTTTTTTACTGCAGCACTTGTCACAGAAACACTTCCCACACCTTCGGCAGTGATGCTAAGCACGAGAGAACACTTCCTTTACTTATTTACCAAGGAAACAAACAGCTTTTTTTAACAATTTTCTCAGGCGTGAAACGTGCAAGCTGAGGGACAGGTAGAAGAAATTAACTGCCACAGTGGCAGACAGGAATCTCTGAAGGCTGGACACAAAGAACTGAGTACAATATGATCAGCAGCACTCTAAGCCTTTGCTGGCACTCTGTAAAGATGCTTCTGGAGCAGAAAGACAGGAAAGGGCTTCTCTGGTTTCCAGTAAATCCTTCGCCTCCCTGTCAATAAAAACCCGTGACAAGAGTGGTTTCCAGATCCCTTCCTACTTCTGAGAAAAGATCTTGGAGAACTTCAACTGAAGTTTCTATTCTTCTTCAACTGAAAATACTATTCTTCTCTTTTAAAACTTATTCTCAAGTTTCTCCCACGGGAAGAATATAAGAATCTTCATACTTAGAACCTAAAGCTATTCCTTTTATCAGAAGTATCAGGCAACACAGCACAAATCCAGTGAAGTTGTGAAACCAGAATGAATACTGCAGTGTGTTTCACAGCCCCTAAATCTGCAACCAGTGGCCTGTGCTCCAGATCAGGGGTGTGACAGTGCCAGCAGATCTTCCTGATGCAAGCTCTCATGACACAACAAGTACTCCCAGGCAAGCAGGAACTCATATGTGGCTCAAAGCAAGCCTGAAAGTTTGATACAAGGAACGGATAACACTGCACTTTTGGTCAGTGTTAGGCTTTCCTTCCAAATGTTCTGCAAAATTCTCTGGAGCATCTATTTCCCAGGGCTACCTCCAATTGCTTCCCACAGCTAACACAAGGGAAACACAGCAGCTTGTCATCTGGTATAACATATGAGTGTGTCTCGTTTAAAATTTCTGCCTCCCTCTCCTTCCAAACAATTAAATTAAAAAAACATGAACTGTGTCACTGCACTACAAGTCACACTTTCACATCCTTCTTCACTTTTGTTAGCCTGTGCTAACAAAGTGTCAATGTAATTATACAAAGGAATGATGTTCCCTCCTAAAAATCACTGCTGGCCTTCTTTGGGAGGGTGCTTTGCAGAGTTCTCCATGTCATACTCTGCACACCAGTCTGCATTCCACAGTGACCTCTTACCATTATTAAACAGAATTTAATGTTAGTGTTTTATCTTCATCCAGTGAGCCTAATTATGTAGTTTACACTTCCTACTTTAATTGGAATTTCTCTCTTCCAAACTAAAGACAAATCCTGGTTTACTTTTCAAAATATGTCAATTTTAGTATTTTGCAACATTTACTGCTTCATATTTCATTAATTTATCTTACCTTTCTAGTTATGAAGTCAAATTTTGTATCACACTGCATACATCTTGGGCACTAGAAAACAGTACAAATCAAGATTAGTCTACAATCTTTTTAAACCTTTAATATACAAAAAATGAGCTTTATATTATGCCCCATAAAAAAAAAACACCTCCAAAAAATTTCTATCCCTTATCTTTTCACCATGAATAGCTTTCATTTAATATTGATGTAGCAAAATAATGTCATCTCCATTTGCAAGACAGAAAAAAAAAAAAAGCTGCCAAACTTCCCCTAATGAACAGTGCATGCTGCCAGCAGGCAAAACTACATCTCAGAATTATTCACCATTCTTGATCATGTTTGGCTATCCAGACAGTCCCAATATTCCAGAGTCAACTGGTTTTCTGTAAGTTGTCCTCACTTTACTCCACTATGGTGCTCTGCTGACTCGCTGAAACATTGTTTACACAATTTAATGCTCTCAATACTCACACATTTTTGAAACATGCTAAGAGATACTTGGTTTTCTTCCAAGCCACCAAGACCTAATGCTTATTCCAGCTACAAAAAGTCACTTCCTGAAATATCTCTTTCCTAAAACAAACTTACACCCACACTCCTTTCAAAAAAATGACAGAAAAAAATTGAAGGAGTTTCTCCCTTCCAACTAAGTAGAGTTTAAGCAGTGACAGTTTTGACTCTGTGTTAGCAACCACAAGTGATCAGTGACTGTTGGACAATCAAAATTTTCAGTATAGAAAGTCACCTGCTGAAGGGTTGATACCCTTAGGTCACTGGATTTTCAACTAAACTTTACATATTTTTATCTACCATATCAAACCCCAAGGTCTGAGCCTTATAATGCAATTTTTGCTATACTTACTTGCAAATAGGAATGCAAAATTATGCCTGACATCTTACTCAGGAGAACATGGTTAGATCCTGTACTAGGTTTTATAACTGTAGAAACCCAAAGTCCTCACACCAGACCATCTCAGCCTACAGCAGAATGTCCTCTCAACCACATGCCCTAAGCTGAGCAGGTGCTATTTGCTAAGCACACAGTAATCACCCTTTGCCTTTAATTAACATATTTCAATGCTGAACCCTTTTTCTGCTATAAATCCCCTCAGGTTATAACAGCTTCTATTCAGGGACTTTTGCTCCAGCAGATACTCAATCACTGCCACAAGTTCAACAGCTGCAGCCAAGACGATATTACAGCAGCTAAATTAAAAATTCTCCAGGAATTTTTCATGTCCTTTTGAAGTGCAAGCTTGTTAATTTTTAGTGATAGTTTATATGAAAGGCTCTGCTGTCTGAACAGACGTTTAACACATTAGAAGGTAATGGCAGTCACTGCAGTGGAACATAAACACCTACTTGCAGAATTTGTTACCACAAGCTGTTTCTAAATCCCACACAGAAGAGCACTGCAAGTGTTCCTGAATTGTTTTAACTAACACTGAACTCAGGCATCCAAACACATCTTCTCACAATGGCTGCAGAAAAGGATATTTCAACACTCACTGATAAATAACTCAGCATGAAGCAATTTCAGCATACACCAAGTTTCACCTCTGTAACAAGCAGAACTCCACAGCTAATGCCATGTTCTGCTCTACCTTGTTTTAATTTTTGACATGTAGTTTAATAGCTTGCCTGGGAGCTGGACCTCACAATAATTTTGGTATGCCTTCAATTTACCTGAGTTCTAATTAATTTTCTTAATGAAAATATTTGGGAGTTTTTTGGTTGTGTTTTGGTGGCAGTGGAGTTTTTTTAGTTTGCCTGAATTGGGGTTTTTGGGGGGGTTGAAGTTTGAGTTTTTTTGTTTATTTGTTTTTTGCCAAAATTCAGAAAGCACAAGTCATGAGCTAGAGGGGAAAAAAAATCAAATCCAAACTCTTCTAAATACTGTTCTACATAGATTTCATACAGAATCTATACTAAACATAAAAGTGGTTTTTAGGAAGGAACAAAATTATCCATCCCCTTATTTAACACAAACTATAGAAAAATGTTTCTGAATTCCAGACCCATGATGACTGCCCTGCCTGGTACAAACAGCAGTCCCAAATAAATCACAAGTCAAGCAGCACATGGTAGCTGGCATTGCAAAATGGGATTTTCCTAGGAAAATGTTCTGACACAAACAAGCTCAAGATACTGTTCCTTCGAGGTATTTCTGCTTTAAGTAACCAGAACGGAGTGAACCATTTGCATAATGTCAACTTCTGCTTTGCCTGGGACAAGACATTTATGGAGAACATCTTGAAAGGTGAATTCTTCCTATTCATCCATACACCGACATAATTAGAGAGCGACTAGATTTGAATTAAGTTTAATTGCTTGGAGGGGTTTTATCACATTAACAGAGAAGGAAGCACCATGCCCAAGTTACTTCTCATGTCTTCAAACAAGAAGATGTGAAGCAAGAAATTAAATAAGAATTCATGTCAGAAGTAAATTAATTTCATGTGCAGTCAATACCAGTATCACCTAGAAAGAGGAAAATGGAAGAACAGATCTGGGCATTAATTTAAAAATACCAAGAGCTGGTTCATTGCAAACTTCTCGTGGTTTGCTCAAGTGAGAGAATATTTCCATAATCCCACTGATCCAGCCAGAGGTGAGAATCCCATCGATGGCCAGGAATCTCTAGTTACACTTCACGTGCTTTATTTGCATAAATAATAACAGAGTGGTTCAAGAAGTGCTGCATGGGAACCCCTGGCTGGGCTCCTCAACACCGTGAACCTTTGCAAAGAGAAGCTCAGGGAATCCCAGCTGGAGCACCCCTGGACAAGGGGGAAAGGGCAGGATGCAAGCCCAGGGCAGACAGAGCTCTGCTCTCTGCCACTGCCCGAGCCTGGATTTGCCAGGGGTCCAAGGGAGCCCTGCCACACAGCCAGTGTCCCTCCCAGAGCCGGGGCCAGGAGAGCTCAGCTCCCTCCTGCAGCCAGGGAGGAGCCCAGGGAACGCCTCCACACAGCTGGCAGCTCCCCTGCAGCACATCCTGTCCTCAGCCAGGAAACATCTGGTGCACAGCTGGGTACCGCAAGGCAAACTGACACATGTCACTCAGCTTCTACTCCAAGCTTTCCTTAACAGAAATGTCATCAATTAAGCTCTGCTGGTGATTAACAAAGAAATTCTGAGTCACACAAGGTACATGCAGAGACCAACATTCTAAGCTCTGTCCTGAGTTTAATGATGCTCTGCACACTTTCATAAATCCCCCTCAACTCATTACCTATATTACAAATAAGATTGCTTCAAAAAGTAAAGTTTTCAGTAGTCCTGCTCCAGGCTTACATTTCAAATTCCTCATAGTTACTGATTTTTAAGACTGTATAATCTTGTGATTAAAAAAAAATTAAAACTTTATTATATTTTGATGCTGTATAAGCTGCACAAAACTACCAACTGCCATAATTCTTAGGTGGCCTTAATTTAAAAAAATAAGCCAGTTGACTCTTCTTACATAAGAAAAATAGAACTACTGGATTTGAGTGTTACTGGCTGCACAGCAAAAGCCAGTAGATTTGAAAAGCCAGATCAGAATTTGCTAATACCACTCAAGGTGTTGTCTTGGACACAGACACTTCATTTTTAATTATGTCTGACATGGTAACAAGAGCAAGCATTCTCAACAAATCCATTGCCTAGGTAACCCTGTGTCTTTAATTTAATTGTTCTTAACAAAAACATGGAATTTATAAGCTTCCCTCTGTATCACATACCTGCTTCATTTAAGGAAAAAGTTTGTAACATATTTGGCAATTGTTAACCAAAGGGACGTCAGGACTCTAGCATACTTCCAGAGATCGAGTAAAATAACTAACCACAAAATCAGAATTGATACTCTTAATCTTGTATTAATAAATGCATTTGAAATAGTTATCTCTATCACACTTCCTCTCAACAGCAAACATCACTGAGCACATTCAGTCACAATTCAACACCCTCAGCCTACAGCTCAGCAGAGAAGCTTTCCTTTTCACAGAAAGGAAACTTTTCAGCGCGGAGGAGGAGCCGGTGCTCCGCACGGAGCAGCCCCGGTGTGCCAAGGATCATCCCGGCTGGAATTCCTCCTCCGCAATCCATCTCCACTCGGGCACATCCACACGCACTGGCGCGGCTCCACGCCACAGAACGCCGCGGCAACAAATAAATAAATAAACGAACAAACAACGGGTTCTGTGTTGTACGTGCAATTAACCCTGGTTACGTGAAATTAAAATTATCACCACGACGCTGTTCGCTCGGCGAGTATTTAAAAGCAAAGCTGGCTGAAACAGCCGGAGCTGTTCGGTTTAACACCGCGATCACTCGCACCAGGAGCCAGAAGGGCTCCTCCACCCCAGCCTCATTGCTTCACTATTTATGCAATTAGTTTCAGACCTACAGGGCCTCCAGAACCACCTTTAGAAGCACTGAAAGCAAAACCGCACAGCTCGCTACGCTTCTGATCGCCAATCGCTCGCAATCTTCGCGGCGGGGCCGCAGAAGAACGAGTGACAGCCCCGCGCCCCCGTCCTTTAACCCACGGGAGGCGAGAGAGCGAAGGGAACGGGGAAAGGCGGAGGGAAAGGAAGCGGGCAAAGGGCGGTGCCCTGCCCCGGCGGTACCTCCTTGTCGGGCACCCAGGGCGGCTCGTCCAGGCCGAAGGGGCTGCGGGCGGCGCGGTGCTCGGGCACCATGCGCAGCCCGCTGGGCGAGCGCACCAGCTTCTTCGCGTCGCCGCCCGACATCTTCCCCCGCGCGCCGCCGCCGCCGCCGCGGGACGGCCGCGCCGCCGCCCAATGGCCGCGCCGCGCTGCGCGACGGACACGGCGCCCAACCAATGGGAAGCAGAGACTCTCTGACCCCGCCCACACCCTCAGGGCGTGACAGCCAATCCCGTGCCGCTTGGCGTGCTAATCCCGCCTCCTTCGTGCCCCGCAACCCGGAAGCGAAGGGCGCCACGGCCGCGTCGCTGAGTTGCAGGAAGCGGCGCACCGAGCCGCGGGCGGCCGCGGCCGCGAGGGACGGCTCCGCAGAGAACCCGCGGTCGCTGCCGCAGCGCCCGCCCGAGGCTCTGACCCAGCCCGGCCCCGGAGCCCTGACCCAGCCCGGCCCCGCCGCTCCCGGCCGGCCCAGCGGGAGGGGAAGGATGCGCCCTGCCATTGGCTGTCCCGCGGGGCAGTCACTGGCGGGAGCTTTGATTGGCCTGCGGCGGGCAGGCTGCTCGCTGATTGGCTGCGCGGGCGGCGCGGGATTCGTGAGGGCGCTGTGGCGGCGCCGCGCGCTGTGCGCCCGTCCCTGTGTCCGTGTGCCCGTCCGTGTGTCGGCTCCTCGGTGCCCCGGGCTGCTGCCGGTCCGTGGGACCCCCTGGCTGCAGCGTGACCGCTCCCGGAGTTTCGCTGTGCCCCGGGCCTCACCCGCAGAGCGGCTTCCCGTGAGCGGAGTGCGCAATGGTTCGGAGCCCGTCAGTCAAGGGCCGGCGTGATCATGACTGATTTCAGTAAGTTGCGGCTTCTAAACCTTCTCAGAATGTTGATTTAAATGGGTGTTACTTTAAAGTAACTCGCCTCTCTTAGATTTATTCTGTTTTTAGCGGCCATCGCAACCTCTCCCCCCATGTTGAAAAAGGATTGTTCATAAAGTCATGTGTGCTCATAGAACTCCCGGCTGTCTGCTGCAATCCTTTATAAAGTTTATCAGAATAATGCTAAGAACCTCTTCTAGGCAGCCATGGGGCTAAACTGTTGTGTTTCAGACCAAAGTATTAAAAGAGTGTGTGCTCATATAACTCTCGGCTGTCTGCTGCAATCCTTCATAAATTCATCAGAATAATGCTAAGAACCTCTTCTAGGCAGCCATGGGGCTAAGCTCTTGTGTTTCCGACCGAAGTATTAAAAGAGCTGTTTAATGTTACAAGAAACAAACAGATTTTAACGATTTAATATTAAATTTGCTTTTAGATAATAAATGTATATGTATATGCTAAACAAATGACTGTCCAGTGCATGAATAATCCTGGGTCATCCTAAACTGGTCATGTGTGAGATTTTTTTTCTGTTTGAAACTGAAAGCCCCGTTTGAAGACTGGCAGGGTAGGAATAAATCCCTGTCCAGCTTGCTTGTGAGCTGCACTCCACAGCAAAAGCACTATGCAGAATTCCAGACAATTAAAACTACCAGGAGCTCTGAACTGCAGGATTATTGGTTGAATTCTTTAATAGGATAAAGATCTGGATACTTCTGACACTGATTGATGCCTATTTTTTCATGCCTGTGTTTGTGATAAAAGCCTCTTTAATCACAGATAATTATGGGATGTGCTGCTCATTGCTCTGCTGTGTCAGGAGATGGACTGGGACCAGTTTGACTTGAACCCTAAAACAATTGCTGCCCTGAAAAAAGGTAATTTATTGCCACTGTCTCACTAACAGACCTGTCACCACAGGGACATCCTTGACATAATTGTGTGCTTGTGGGTATAAGCAGGCAGATGGACACTAACATTTTAGAACTGTAATTAAGTATTTCATAAAGAAGTTTTCTGAGTAATTAAAAGTGTTGGGTTTTGCCCATGGTTCAATTATAAATTTCCAAACAATTTTACAGCTTGTGATGGTACAGTCCACGTGAGTGTTGCCTGCCCACCACACAAGAATGCAGCATAGATAAACCTCAAGTAAATGGGAATTACAAATTGGGAAAACTTTGCTGTGTCAGACAGCCAAAAGTATTTCTAAAAATTCCTCTTGTTTCAGCTGACATAAAATCAGTAAAAGAGATTTTAAACCTGTCTGGAGCAGACTTGCAGAGGCTGATGAAGCTCTCCAGTGCAGACATCCAGTGCCTGCTGAGAACAGTCTCCCACACCCTGAGGAGGAACAGCATGCTCACAGGTAAGGCACTCAGGGCATGGAAAGGCTTCTATCTGGAACTCAGAATAACTGTCACTGGGAGAAAATACAGTTCTGGCTCCTCAATGGCACAGAAATGTGGGTTTAAAATGAGAATGGGAGTGTTTAAAAAAAAAAGCTATCCTAAGGACAGCCCCCCTGGGGGTAAATGGAAGTGAATGGGTGTCGTTTTTCAGGATCCAGCCTGATTGAAACAGGACAAAATGCTTCTCCAGTCTGAAACACTTAAATACAGGAACAAAATATTTCCTTTTTCTTTCACACTCTCTTCCTCCCTCTCACTGTTCTCCTTTTGGACTAAGACTAGTTGAAAAATGTATATCATATATTAAAAGTTTCATAAACTGATTTGTCATAAACACCTCATTCCAAAACAAGCAGGACCTAATAGCTCCTCCTGTACAAATTCTTAATGACAACTCTGTATTTAAAACATATTTTCTTGTGATTGCATGTGTCTTCAGGCTGACCAGATGCCTGCTCTGCTGTTTTGTACTCTGCTATAGCTTTCTATTTCCATAATGGTTGTACTTGAACTTTCCTGTCAAAATCCTCTCCAAATGTAACTTTCCTCAGGGACACCTAAAAGAGTTTGAGAGGGGGAAGGAACTCAGCATAAATTATCAATCTTTGTACAGATATTCAGCAGAGGTTTAATGGGGAGAGAGAGGTGGGGAAGACCAGGCTGAATTAGGTAAATTCCCCATCAACAAAGAAAGCATCTTTTGTAGGGATAAACCTTCTATACAGCATCTATTCTGTATCATTGTGTGTTGGAAAAATAATAAATGAAACTACCTTTTTTTTTTCCTTTTTAATCATTAAAAAACACTCCCAAACCCTGCAGCACTTCAGCTCTACCAAGATAAAGATCATTTCACCTCCCAGCACCAGAGGCTGAGCCTGGGCTGTTCAGTGCTGGACAACTTGCTAAAAGGAGGCATTCCTGTAGTGGGAATCACGGAGCTTGCTGGGGAGAGCTCTGCTGGGAAGACTCAGATCAGTTTACAGCTGTGCCTGTGTGTGCAGTATCCTTACAAGTATGGGGGCTTAGAGTCTGGTAAGTGCTGAACTGTAAACTTGGATTCATGTCCCATTTGAGGGAATACACTGCTTTAGGAACCTCATTAAAGCAGGTGCTTGTTCAGTGCATGTCTAACTTCAGTAGGAAGCCAGTTAGTGACTGATGTGTCTTTACAGAGAGAAAAGCTTGCTGTGCACATCCTGCAGCACAACAAAATTCAAAACTGCTGTTGGCAAAAAAAAAAATTATTTTGTTTTAACTATTGTTGCTGTAGAAAGGGAGGAGGAAGCCTGTGTCACTTCTGAGAATTCTGCCTTAGGTGTGTTTTGCCTGTGACCTTGCTGCTCCTTCCACACAGCACTGGCTTTATCTGGCAGCTCAGTGGCTCCTTGTGGGGAAACTCACTAATTTCTTGGACTCTGTCCACCCACGTGGAAAAATCATGGACTGTACAAATTGAGATCTTGCTTAAAGGGCTGTGAGTAGCCTGTGGCTTACATTACATGATGTCATTAATCAGAGCAGAAGCAATTATATTTTGTTCTGTTCCTTTGTGTGCTGCTGCTAACTGCTGCACATAGTTTAAATACATTTTTATCTGTGTTCCAGCACTTCTCCCTGTTTGTGTTGAAATCAAGGAACAGAGGAAGGTGCCCAACACTCTCTTGGCACTCTCATGTGGAGCCTCCCATGAGAAATACAGCAATTAAAGCTTAGGTTAAATGTGAGGAGTTTTATCCTTTAGCAAACTTGAGGAGAACAGAAGTGCTCAGAAACTCTCACAGGATTCTGCACTACCAGTGGAAGATTTTGCTACTGATTTAAAATTTTGGTGCATTGTATTTTTTTACTGATTAGAAACTTCCCTTCTCATAAGTGGTGATGTTGAAATACCTTTCTTTAAACAGTTACTTCATTAAATTTAGTGCTACTCTTCTTTGTAATTCTCAGTGCAAGGAGGTTGGCAGCAAAGAAATGCTGAAAGCAAACAAAGGCCTCCTTTGCCCCAGGATATCTTTCTGCTGTTCCAGGAATGTCAGTTGTGTTGGCTGAATTTATTGTATATGCCCATACTCATAAGTAATATGTGAATATAATGGAACAAATTAATATCCACATTAGAATTCTGGATTAGAAAATAATGTTTGCAACTGATTCTTGGTAACAAATTGGTTTGGTGCCTGACAGATTATGATCATAGGAATCAAAATTTGTTCTTTCTGAGGTTGATGGGTTTTAGTGGGTTTTACTCCTGTGGTTGATTTTTTGGTGGTATTTTTTGTCAACAACTAGAATAACACATTTATTGGCCAGAATAACACATTTATTGGCCTGAATAACAGATTTGATGAAATTGCTGATTTCTGTTTGGGTTTTGTTGGACTTGTGACTGTGTTTTCAGTGTTCTGAATGTCACAATAACTGTGGATCAAAATACAATTATAATCAATGGAGCATCAATCTATCTAGAAAGGCAAATGTGCATCTGGAAGAACCCCAGTGACTATGAAATCTGAAGAAATGCCCATTCCACCCTTTTTAAGTAAACCAAGGAGAGAACAAGGGACCTCCTGCTTAAAGCAGGTCTGGTTTTCAGAAAGCAAATATTTCTCTGTGAGCCCAGAATTCATGGTAGGGAAATCCCTGTCTTTCAGCATTGAAGCAACATTGTGCAAAGGCAGTCAGCTTAAATAAGCATGGTAGCTGAGAAGGACAGAATTTCTTTTACTTAGGAGTGTTGTCTCAACACAAGTTAGCACAGGTTTTTTACCATGAAATTCATGGTGCTGTGGTTTGGATTTCTGACCAAAGCAGGCAGACTGTGCAGTGTCACTGTGTGGGTTGGATAAATTGGGATACTCCTGATCCCCAAGGGCAGGTGATCAGGTGCTCCACAGCTGTGCACAGTGAGTGTCACCCAGTGGAGAGTACAAAATCCAATTGTCCCAGCTGGTGCTGAAGAAAGGACCAGGCAGCTGCAGCAAAGTCACAGAAGTGGGGTTTTTGTTCATCACTGATTCAACGTGACTGCACAAAAACCAAACAAATATGAACTTCCAGGTCTGTATGTGTAACTTTTAAATGCAGAATGTCTGATGTAATTTGTGTGCTGTTAAGAAAACTGTGTAAGAGCCCTGTGGTTTCCTTGGCTACAGGAGCTGTCTACATTTGTACAGAAGATGTGTTCCCAAGCAAACGCTTGCAGCAGCTCATAGACCAACAGCATAAGCTGCGTGCAGATGTTCCAGCTGAAATCATACAGAAGATCAGATTTGGAAACAGTATTTTTGTTGAGCAGGCAGCAGACCTGGTAAGTAGTACCACAAAGAATGTTTCTAAGACTCTTGATCAATGTGGATTTGAGGCAGTATTTTACTGTTAAGGGGTCATTAGTGGAAGAGCAGCACAATTTGTAACTGGTTTGGAGCACTTCACGATAGTCTCACGTTTTGAGTGTTTCAGTGAGAACCACTCCTTCCCCAGGCAGGCTGAGAAAGTTGGGGCTGTTCAGCCTGGAGAAGAAAAGGTTGTGTGGGGACCTCATAGGAGCCTTCCAGGGTCTGAAGGAGCTGCAGGGAAACTGGAGAGGGACTTTCTGTCAGAACATGTTGACAGAGCAAGGGTACAAATTGAAAGAGAGGAAATTTAGATATTAGGAAAAAATTCTTTACTGTGAGGGTGCTGAGATACTGGAAGAGGTTGCTCAGAGAAACTGTGGATGCCCCATCCTGCCCCATCCCTGACAGTGTTTAGGGCCAGGCTGGATGTGGCTCTGAGCAACCTGGTCTGGTGGGAGGTGTCCCTGCCCATGGCAGGGGGTTGGGACTGGATGATGTTGAAGGTCCATCCCAACCCCTTAACATGATATAACTCTATGAAAACAGAACAGTTTAGGAGTGTAGTACTACACCCTTGAGATTTGAAAGTATCAGTGAAGTCAGAGCTGCAGGTAAATGCAGGTTGCAGTTTTGTCTCTCCCATTTTCTCCTCAGTAAAACCACCAGATGTGGTTACTGGTGGGACTCAGAGATCCACCATGATCCCACATGATTCAAAACTCCCTGAGCTCGTGCTGCAGCGGTGACTGCTGCCGTTCAGTGCCTTGATGTCGCAGCAGGGTTCTTGCCCTTTGTCACTGTGTGTGTGGCAGGACACGTTCCAGCAGTGCATCACGAGGAGGCTGTCCCTGCTGCTGGCGCGGGGCATGGCGCGCCTCGTGGTCATCGACTCCATGGCCGCCCTGTTCCGCTGCGAGTTCGGCGCCGCCCAGGCGCCTCTCAAGGCTCGCTACCTGCAGAGCTTTGGGGCACAGCTGCACAGCTTGAGCACGAGGTTCAGGACTCCCATCATGTGCATCAACCAGGTGGGATATCAAATTGCTTCTTACTCTGTTTAATAAATGGCTGGAGGGTGATGGAGCAATCTGTGGAAATGCAGATTTCATGGTGGTGTATTTACCACCATCAGCTGACTATTAATGCCTGATGGAAACTGAAGCTTCCTTAAACTGATTTGCTTTAGTAAATGCTACCTACTCAAAGTTTATTATTTAAGCTTTTGTAGGCTGTTAATGTTCTCAAAAGTTGTCCACTAAAGCTAACAGAAATAGGTATGTATAGCAACTACACAGAGCATCAAAGCAAAATAACAGAGTTCTTTCTTATCACTGGCTTCAAATGCCATTGTCAGGAGGATTGCTCTGGGAGTCTGCAGGCAGTTATATTCCAGGAGACAGTGAAGCACCAGGGACTTTGCTGCCTTTCTGTGGAACTCAGCACTTTTGTGTGACTGCTGAGATTACTGAGGCACTAAAGTGCATGCACTGCCTTGAGCTGGACCAAAACAAGCCCACAATGATACTGGTCACAAAGAGTATTCTTTTGAGAAAGCAAGGCAAGTCACTGCTCTTAGTCTGCTCACAAACTGAAGGAATATCTGAATGCTAGAGGTGAAGCACTCACACTCCAGTGTGGCCTTGGGAAGGGAATGCGCAGGCAGGCCACTGAGAAACTTCAAAGGTAGTGAAATCATTGAGAACAGGGCACTTTTGGGAGATCTGGGCTTTTGTACTTTTTATCTCCAGCTACAGCACTCAAACAGTTTTGTCACTCTGGGGGTTTGTGGTTTGGGTTTATTTTTTAACAAATAAGGCATCTAGTAGTAGTTTATATAAGCTGTAGCTTGCTAAGTAGTTCTAACACTGTGAACTCAGCTTGTAATTCCCAAACCCCTTTTAGTTTGCCTTGAAAGTATGAGTGTTTTCTAACTTGGCTTAATATATGTTCTGATAACTTGGACTTTCTTGCCTTGGTTCCCTTCCCTGCCCTCCTGCTTGCTGAATACACACCCAGAACCCCAGGTCAGCTGCAAACCTGTTTTTGTGCTGCAGGTGACAGATGCAGTGAGTGAGTCGGAGGCTGCTCAGTGCAGTTGCAGGTGAGTCACCCACACAGAGTGACAGTGTCAAACACACAGCTCTGAGCCATTCTGCTCTTTGTCACTCCAGGGTAGGCTGCAAGATCATGTGAGGAGCACAGGGGCATTTACCCAGCAATGCTGGATTTGCTGGAGATCAGCACTAGCTCGTGCTGTGAAGAGGAAGAAACTGTCATATACATTTACATCCTAATCCTAATCACAAGTTAGCAGGAAAAATTCCCTGGACTTAATGGCTTCAGTACCTACTGACACGAGACTATTTCTGCATCTTGTCTTGTGTCTGATGGAACTGCATGCACCTTCTGTCTGCTTAAAAAATATAGCAGCCAAACCCTAGCAGCTGGCTTTGTTAGTGAGCTAAGAAAAAACCCAAAATAGCATCTTCTGACACCAAGATACTAAGAGGATTTGAATGTATATATGTGTTGTCCTTCAGATTCTGGAACTGACACAGAACAAGGATAAGGTTCAATTATTATTTTTGCCTGGTTATCTTGTATTTCTTTTACTGGAGAAAATTGCACTTTTTCCAGGAAAAAAAATTGTTTTAAACCTTGAGTTGAAAGTCACACATATGCAGTGTTCAGTTTACTCAACATTTCTAAATATACCTGCAAATGGAATCCAAGGCCAACAGTTAAACACTTCAAATATTAAAAGTTCAACCATTTTTCTCTTGTGGTTTTCCTGTTGCAAGGGAGGCCTGTTCAGAATGGAGGTTGGTATTCCCCCTAGCTGTAGTTGAAAGAATGACAGCTGTTCTGTACAGAAGCACTTCTCCTCCAGCTGTTTCCTTGCCACAGGGAGAAGCTGTTTTGTGTTTTGTGAGTAAACCCTGTCACCTCTGTTTTCATAGACCCACAGTTTTCAATATATGTTAGAGAAACAGTAAATGATGCCTTTTAGTGCAGTTTTGTTACAACAGGAAGTATCTCAGATGAAATCCATGCATGCAGAAACGTGTCACACTTCCCTTACAGGGCAGTGGGTAGCAGAGTCACTCCAGCCCTGGGGATAACCTGGTCCAACCAGCTGCTGATGAGGCTGATGGCCAGGCGGGAGCCCGGCCCCGCGCCCGCAGCGCCGCGCTGCGCTGCCAGCACCAGGACTCTGAGTGTTGTTTTTGCTCCTCATCTCCCTCCATCCTTCTGCTACTATACAGTACAGTTGGAAGGTGTAAAAGGAATAAAGTAATGCTTTTGTATGGTAAAGCCTCCTGCTCCAAAAATGTTCCAGGACTTTGCTTTAGGAAGAATTACCGGTGAAATGCAATTCTTGCTAGATGAGAGAAATTGATGGTGAAGTATATGAACAATGGTATGGCTACATTTAGCCTTGTCTGCATTGTGCAAGACTATCTTTTTACACTTGGATGTTCAGCTTTTCCTTGTGAGATGAGTGTCCTGGAGGTTCTGAAGGAAAGGGAAGCTGTGGGCAGGTGGAGGCTGCACAGTGGAGTGGGCTTTAGCAATCCCCATGATGGGGGAGATCTGATGTCTAAATTTTATTTTAATAGCATGCTCATCTAGAAACAGCATTTACTGCAGTTTTGTACCCTGTTTCTAGACCCAACAGGACTTGAAATTCAAGCAGTTTATGTTGCCTGCTGGTGGTTCTCATGCTGCCAATTAAGGATAGCCATTCTTTGCCACAAAGCAGCTGTACTATTTTAAAACAATTTGCTACCAAGATTTTACCAGTTTATGTTGCCTGCTGGTGGTTCTGGGTCTCATGCTGCCAATTAAGGATAGCCATTCTTTGCCACAAAGCAGCTGTACTATTTTAAAACAATTTGCTACCAAGATTTTAAAGAAAACAATCCCATAAAGTTACTTTATTTTACCATCTTACTGTAAGAATAAAAATTGCACTGCCTTTGTACTACATGAGTGTATCTAGCTTCATAGCACTCTTTAAAATTTTTTAATGGTTCATTTCCACTTTTTTCCTGCTTTCCAGTCCTTCCCCTTCATAGCAAAAGCCTCTTTAGTCTCTTTTATTTGAAGGACAGCAAATCACATCCCCCATCCCCTTGTTCTCTTTGCCCATTGCTGAAGCTTTGTAGCCTCAGGGCAAGGTCTGTGTTCTCCCTGATGCTCTGCCCTGCTCTGTGCTTTGCTGGATCAGCATTCTTCATGGGCTTTTGGATTGCTGCCTCTCATGTCCTGTCCCTGCTGCTGGGCTCTCAGCTCAGCCATGATCCTGAAGGGCACCTTCAGCTCTTTTCATCCATTCAGATTCTATTGCTCTTCTGAGGTGATTTTTGTTGTTCAGTTACAGCTTCACATGGGTTTTCTTCCTGCCTTTTTGCTATTTGTCACATTTTTCTGCTGTCCTCAGACCACTGCCATGACATCCACTCTTCCTATGGCTGAATTTTCCTTTGCTCTGTCCATGTGAAAGCAATCCAGGTGAAGTTACACTGTCCAGAGGCCTCTGTTCTGTGGGTGCCTGCTCTCAGCAGTGAGTGATGCTCACACACTCATCAAGCTCTCACATTTCTCCTCCTTCTGCTGCTGGCCCAGACAAGAACTCCACATGTTTCTGTGGGGTGACATTGCTCAGGTCTCTTGGCCAGGCACCCTGTGTTTGTGTAAAGTTGCCTCCCTCCTCTGCCTTTCCCCCATCACACTCCTTCAGGACATTCATCCTCTTTCCATGTGGAAGGATGCAGCTGGGTAGCTGAAAGGGAAAGTTTTGTCTGGCTGTGAACTGCCTCAGCTGGAACTATGGCAGAAGATTTCTCAAGGGACAGATGAGTATGACTCAAGGAAAAGAGACCCTGTGTGACTGCCTGGGGAAGTTCCAGAGGAGAACAGGCACAGCATGAAGCTGAAGGAAGGAGACCATAAGCAAGCAGAAAGGATGAGCTGTTTTCAGTGCCTTCTGCAACCCCTTCAGATGTCCCAGGGGCCCTTGTGCAAATAGCACAAGTTGTGTCTCAATCATTTTCCTAAAATGTCTTAATTCTCTGTATTTGGAAATGACCACACAGCTTCTTTTAATAAAAGCCAACCATGAAGCTTAGAAACCTTTGTGTCCTTTAAGGAAAAAGTGAGAATGCCACAGCTCAGAGGCAGGGCCACCTCCTCCTCTGAACCCTTACCTTCCGTGCCTCCTCCCTAACAACTTCAATGAAGATCAACTGATGTAGCACAGGTAACACTCCAGCTCTGTTCCTGCCTGTGCATCTGGGCTGCAACTGCAGCCAAGGTAATGTTCATCCTCTTGTGCTGACTGGGAAAAGCAGCCACAGAGAGCTGTAGCTGATTAATGGAGTCACCAAACCCTACCTGGATATTCATTTACAGAAGAGTCTCATCAAATGCTGGGCTCCAATCCCAGGACTTTGCTTTGCTGTGAGCCACGTCCAGAACAGGGTGAAACCTCCAAAAGCTCAGTCTGTCATATTTTAATCACTTTTTTGCAACTTGCAGCTGCTTGCTGAACAGCTCTGAAGTGTGAAAAGTCCCAGATGGGTCTGTAATCAAAGTTCTGGTTTACCTGCTGAAAAACACTTTTACCAACAAACAGAAGTAACATTTTGCCTGCTCAAGTGTTCTGTCATTACCCCGTTGGTTTGTTGGTTATTTCTCTCCAGCAGAGTCAGGGTACATTACAGTTTGTCACCTGGCTCAGGAACACACACAAACCCTGAAATCTCAAATGCAGCCCCACTGAGGCCCACAGCCAACACTCAATCACTGCAGCTCCTGCCCCATCCCCCAGCCCCACCCCCAGCACAGCCCAGGCTGCCCATCTGACCCAAGGGCCCCTTTGGGGCTGCAAACCCTCACAGGAACCCGACACAGCACCTGTCTATTGAAGCCTTGTGTCAAAAGTGTTGAAATGTGCTTAAGTTTTAATAAATGCAAGTTAAGAACCTTCCCTTTATAGAACTTTATTCATCTTTGGGTTTCACAACTGAGATTTGTATTTTATACAAGAAAAAATTTAAGTAATTTTTACAAAGAAGATTTACAGTCTAGAACGTATTAAGTCTTTACCCTGCAAGACTACTTAAATATTCTTCTACACTTTGAAAAGAAATGTTAAATGACACTTGAGAAATTATGGTTCCCTAAATATTACAAGCAGATGTAACCAAGGAAGTGTTGCAACTTCACTGTGAACACAAGCACCCTCCCAGCAGGGGCCTTTGGACTTCTACCAGGCCCCCACACTCTGTTTGGCTTCTTGCTTTGTTGTTTCAGGTTTTTTAACAACTGACCTTAACTATTCAGTGTACTGGCACAATTGTAATGGTTTTAGGGGGAAAAATAATCCAAGGTAGATGTTTGAGATACTCCTCACTTCTAAACATTTACACACACACCCCCCCTGTGAACTTCTGTAAGTCGATGACAATGAAACTAAACTTGTCAGCATCACATCTGTTAACATTTATTCTCTCAGTACAGACTAACATGACCAAAAATGCCACTCTCTTAGCAGCCTTCAGACACAGCATGTGACCTACATAACAAAAACCAACTATCATCAGTTACTGTAAACACAACTGTCAATGCAGCACTGCACACACTTTTTATTAGATATTTACAACAGAACCATACCATTTGCAAAATCTCTGCATTCAAATGATACAATTTAAGTACAAATGCTTCTCAAGCTCAAAACCACTTTAATTTATGATTCAGGAGTGCTTGGGGGATAAAGGTGTCATTTACTCTAAGTACAAAGTGTAGATAACTGACTTTTCTGCATTGTGTAAGTGCAGACACACCACAGCAACAGGTCACTTACTCCTCCAGAAGAGGAGCAAATCATGAAACAATTACATTTTACAAGACTATTTACTAAGATCTAAACTCCAAACCAAACATTGCCAATATAGCACACAGCCAAAGACAGAAGGGCAACAGACACCTTTCCATCAGGAACAATTCCGTGTACAATTCATCCCACATCCTGCTGAACACCCAGGCTCACCACTGTTTGTGGGAGAATCTGAGCCTTAATGTGGACTCCTCGTTACATTTTTATTCAACTTCACCCTTAAAATGTTAGTCAAGGCCAAAAATGCCAGATTAAAAACACAACTGCACTACCAAGGTTGCAGTTTTCCTAACAAGGTGCCTGTTAATTTTTAAGGTCTTTTCCTGTTTTTTGTTTCATCAAGAGCTGTTGATTTAGTTTGGTGCTGAAGACATCCCTGAATTACACAACTGGATATTCTAGATATGTTCTTTATCTCTTAGCTATAACTACAACCTCACAAAAGGAAATCCAGAAAGAAAATCTTGCATAAAAGTGAACTGAGAAGCCCATCTGAAATATAAATGTACATAAACCATGTCCTGACAGTAACTCATCCATGCTTCAAACACAGGGAATGCTGACTTTGATTTGGTTTGTGATTTTTAGATGTTCTCAAACTGCTAACAGGTAACTGGCTCCTAGCAGTAAGGACTTGGCTACTATTCTCAAGGATTATGGATTAAAGAAGTCTTGAAATTTGCTTCTTCTCAGAAAAAAAAATGAACCTCTTAAATGTAGAAGTTATTTAATATGCATTAGCTCAACAACTTCCATCACACTTTAAAATACTATATAAAGGATTAAAACATTTAGAAGCACAGTATTAGTAATGCCACCACCAGCAAGATCTTGACCAGGCAACTTCCCTCACAATCACCCTCTACACACCACAGTCGTACACTCTGAAACTTACTGTACATTGTCATTTGGCATGGTTGCATAATTTATTGCTTATTTACACAGGGTGGGGGGTTTGAGAGGTTGCAAAAAATCATTCTGCTTCAAAGATGAATGTGGGAATCACATCCTTCAAAAACAGTTTTGTGTCTGAATAGTTCTGTGGGGTTTTTTTGGAAGCCACACTCCAGTGGGGTGGGGCTGGACATGGGCTCCCCTGGCCTGGCAGCCTGACACTGTTCTTTCAGCAAAGCCAGCTCAGTCTGCCTTTGTGCAGAGAGCCCAGTCAGCCAGCAGGGGCACAGAGCACTTTTTACTTTAGGGGAAAAAAATAAGTATATATATTACATATTTTTTTAATATAAAAAGCTCTTAATAAAAAGATTAAACCTCAAGAGTCAACATTATATGAGTATCTATTGTTAAGATAATCGAGCAACAACCTGTTCCTGCTCGAGTTCATTAATGAATTGCACTATGTGCTAGAACTTCTACAAAATTATTAGCAGCATTGTCTCTCACCATTCCTACACTGTCTCTAAAGCAGGTGCACCATGCACAGCTTCCTTTGCAGAGATGCTCAGACGGTACCTCCTGGTAAACATTGTTAAGTGCATTACACAGACAACTTCTGCATCAGTTACTGTAACCAACTTAAAACCAGGTGCAAACCCAGTCAAAAACTCCTACTAAGTACTAATTCTGATTACTTTTCACAGCCTGTTCAAATACTAAAACTTTCCTATGTTTCTATATTTCACCTTTTTCAGTTGGTGCTGATTTTGAATGAATTTTCCAGCTTTTCCCAAAGTCAATTTTGTTTGACATTTTCCAACTCACAACTACGACCACAAATACATTTTTACACACACTGCTTGTTTGTTTTTTTTTACTTTCTCATCCAACTTCACACGAATAGGAATTTTTACAAAAGATGAACAAAATTACAAGCTTTACA